CAGCTCTTTTTTTTATTCATTCAATTTTTAATTTTCGTTAATATAGAAAACTTTTAAAGTGTAGGCACTAATTTATTTTTGGTGATTTCAATTTTTTTTTAGTTGTACAGTTTAGCAATCCCCTTCATCTTTTACATATCCTTAATTACCGGATTTCCACACAGGATGGCGTTGAAAAATCGTTTGCTCTGCAAGGGAGTGGTAAATTAAAAAAAATTGATGAACGCTGGTGTATATTGTATAGTTTTGAACACACTATCGTTCCATAAAGATACTGGAAAAAAACCTAAGCGACTCCCGCAAGACGGTTATATAATAGTGGCACGTATATAATAATATTTTATTAGTTTTCGATGACAACGGCGATCCGACGCATAATACGAAGACGATTATATATTTTTTCTTTCTCTCGTGTATTATTATGATACTTATATTATACCTATAGCATCATTGGGCCTGTCTATACAATGCTCGTGTATCCGATCCGCCGTCGACTGGGTATCCACGTAAGTATAAGTATAATAATATTATACGAGTCGACTTACAAGGTCACCGCGCTACAGAAAGGTTTGAAAAAAAACAAAATAAACTCGAACAAAAAACTATACAGGTAGACGACGGCAGCGTATATAGCGTAGTGGGTTAAATCTCCAGAATATTTTTTAACGGAAATTCAAAAAGGAATAAAAAACACCGTAGTAACCGAATGTGAAGTATATGATATCATATAGATGTCTTTTATAATGTATTTTGTTTTTTATCGTTTGCAGACGAATTTATGTTGTGTTTTTTCTCCCTGTTTCTTTCGGTTTGTACCGTAAGCGGGATTGCGAAAACAAGTAATTAAAATGGTTTAAAAATCACGTTGTTTTTCTTTCAAACGATTATTTTTGTTTTTAACTATTTTTAAATAGCCGTATAACAAAAACAAAAATGATATTGCCGACAACCTGCCGATGGTACTGTAGATGAATGCGGTGGTGTGGCAATCATTTATGAATAATGATGTTCAACATATATTTGAGTACCAACCCACCCCACCTCATCCTACCCCTTTATAAATAATCATTCAATAATTCTAGATTCTGAGCGTAGGGAGAGATCTATTAATAATTGGTTTTATTATTTTAATGTGTTTTTATATTTTTATGTCTTTTAAACAACTTTTCTACCAGAAATCTTATTTCAATCAAAACATTTACGAAAGACCTTTTATGTGGCTTTTTGGATCTAGTCAGTGCTTCGGGGAGATTATTTTTTTATTTTCCAAGGGGTTTTTATAATAAATAGGAAACACCGCAAAAGCGGACAAATATTTACGGTGCTATTATTTTTAAGTTTTATGTTTTCTACCGAAAATATCGCTTTAATCAAAAACAACAAGCAAAACTTAACAGAAAATTTATATTTGCCTTTTCTATACGTGGTAAAATTTCAAAAAAATATTTTTGAGCTATTTATAACCATTTGGCATTTTATAGTTTTTCTTTGGTAGGAAATAATTGTTTAGCATAATAATAATGCTTGAAAATTTGACTATAAGTTGTACTTATAGAGGGCAAAAAAAAAAAAAGTTGAGCGTAATGTAGTAAGTTGTTTTTTCATAATATTTTTAAGATCAATATTAGATGATTCAATATTTATTTATACATTATTGCCACGTTATTTTAACCAATAGAAATCCACCTACATTGACAGGGGGATTACAGGGGGCGATCACCCCGGGTAGCCTCAGATTTGTACATTGCTCTTGCCCATCTTCTGTGAATGAAAAATGATAGAAATTGATTACATTTTTTTTTTTTATCAATTTTATTCTAAGATTGTAATACGCCTGACACCACGGTTATAGACGAGATTTAGAGATAATAGAGCTATATATTAGATGTGTCTAGAACATCTACTACTCAATATCATTACTCAATGGTCTAAAACTATGCTTTGACCAGTAATCATACAAAGGAGAATGCTCTACAGGGAAAATATTCAGAAATCAGTTATATCCACAGTGTTATTGTGACACTGTTTAAACAATTATCACTTATCAGTGACAGTTATAAAAGTATAATGGAAAACAATGAATTTTTTATACCACATTATTATTGTGTTATATATTGCACACTTGACGGTTGTCATTATTTAATAATTTGTGTTTGAATTTTAATATAAAATACCACTTTGTTGTGTGAAAATATTAAATTCCAAATACTCAATTATAATATTGATAAAAGGCAAATCGTGAATGGCTAATATATTTTTGTTTTATAATAATATGTTCATTAAATAATTAAAATATATATATATTAAAAAAATAGCTCATCTACATTTTTAAAGGAATCTGGTGACGTATCAATAAAAAAACTCTTATAATCGGTAGTCAGACATGATGCATATTTAAGTACCTATACCCCAAAATTGGGAAGAAATTAAAAAAGCATCAAAACAAATTATTGAAGGTTCATCCGAAAAAACACAAGCCAAATAATACGAAAAAAGAATTTTATAAACATTTAAAACTTAAGAAATTGGAATTTTTATAACAATTTGCGGAGATATATTTCACCTAAAACAGTGGCTGTACCCACGTTTTTTAAAAATTAAAACTATGTGTACATGATACACATGCGCAATGCACATTCTACATAAGTAGTAGGTAGAAACATAAGTGTACATATATATATTGATTTAGTTTAATTTACTTTAATTTGCAAAAATGATAACTGCCTAACTGAAGAGTGAAGACAATGATTTTAATTTTAAAACATGCTGTTTCTCTTGACGAGGTTTTTGGTGAAATCGTTATAGGCACTACCGAAATTTTAAAGATTACGTAACATTTATTTCTTATCGCATGTTATCATTTTCAGAAGATCTGATCCCATTAGCTACTCGTAAACTTGTCGTCTTATCATTTTTCTGACAACTGGATATTTCTTGGTGCAAATGATGGGCATCAATGTCTCTACCGTTTATACTCAAAAATCTCAAACAAAAAACGATACGTGGTAGTACTTACTGTATAGTGTTATATTATAATCTATAGACGGCTAAGTACATAAATAATATGAGAATATAAAAGAGTATAGTGGGTACCCGTGTAGTAAGTCGGAGTAGTAGGCCGAACCAGGCCCGTAGCGGGATCAATTCTTCTAGGGGGACAAACCGAGTTACAGAGGAGGCATTAAAAAAATACAATTTTATATTATTTTTTTGCAATATAACGATTGATTTGAAAATGACCGTCTTCCAATAAAATTTCTAGGAGGAGCAAAGAACGGGTCTAGGAGGCGCAATGCTTTTTATTGCCCCCTCCCGAATAGCTATGGACCTGGGCTGAACCCTGGAATATTAATATAATATTATTTTTAACGGACACTGCGACAATACCACCCATACTCTTTCTTTCTTTCCGTAGCTAGTCCGCATAATATAATAATACCAATAATATTCTATTAAATTATAATATAATATAACAAACTCGCAACAATAATATTGGTGTGCGTATCTATGCACATCTAAGTTGTTGAGTTCAATAGAGTTTGATTTTAAACTATTATTGTCCTATTGGCCCTATGAGACTTAAATAAATAATAATTAATAAGACTTACAATGTCCCCTGCAATTATTAAACTTGACCTAACGCATAACCAATAATACACCTGTATTGGGCCAAATTCTTGCTAACGTATTTATTTATATTGTAATATAAAATATTGTATATATTAGTTATTAAGTTGATAATGTTATAAATTTATAAAAGAAAAACGTAAAATATTGAACATTGGGCGATTAATCCTCAATAAAACACGCATTATCTCGGAAAGTATTTACTTTTCAAGAACCGAACATTTTCATTATTTTTCGTCGCCCTTATTTTAGATTCTGAGTGGAGCGAAGACAAAGATGTTTATTTATTTTTTTATTTTTTTTACCTGTTAACAACTTTTCTACCAGAAGACTTTCTCGGATTTTTAAATGTAGCGCCTTTTCTGAAAAGAAATCGATGTGCGTACTTTATAGATGTCATTTTTCGATTTTCTTAAGAATTTTCTCATCAAATTTGAAAAACCAGGATAATACATGGGAAAACCGAGAAAAACGTAGGAAAATTGGGAAAATCGGTACGACACTAAACAAATATTATTAAAGAAAATAAAGCCTATTTAATTATTTTACTATAAAAAGACATATATATATATATATTGCGTTGACAAATCATCGCTATTAACTGAACTCCGCTTAGAATCGATTTTTCGTAATCAGTGGTTTATCGTTGTCTACAGGTGTACATTAAATTATCTATAGCAGTGGTTGCACCTATTCCCATTATCCTATGACGTCATTTTGTAGTTGAAACGACTACCTGCCATTGTTATTCAATCCTTTTGACCTATACGTTAAAAAAGACGGACATTCTGCGCACGATGGGTGGGCTACTGTTGGTGAGAAGTTAAGAATTTAAGCTTCCAATTCACTGGTGCACTGGTGGACACCGCGTGATAAGGTCGATAAGATACCTACCTAAAACGAATAAACGGTCTATCAGAGAATTGCGCATGTGCGGCTCGTTTCGACTGTAGGGAACGTTAATACGCGTCCCGAGCCTCGGCTCGAAAAAATATTATACCGAGTCGTCGATCCCGCCAAACCGGCTGCGCAAACGCCAAAGAAGAGTCTCGGGCGTACCCACCTACCTACCAAGCATACCACACGTTGGCGGCGGCGGACACGTAATATAATTATTATTATTCGACCGCGGCCGGTTCGAGAAATTCCACGGTGTACGCGGTTTTTCAGTGGCCCGCGGCCGCTCGCACAGTGCGGCGACGGCGGCGGTGCTCGCGTGTAATATTATACACGCACTGTGGCCACTGCGCGCGCATTATACGAACGCACGACGACCGTTTTTGGCGGTCCGGTTACGGCCGCCGCCGCCGCAGCACGGTACGTACGTGCATGCACCACTGACGGCCACGGGTATCCGTGTACCGGCGGCGGCGCGTAGTCGGTGCACGTCCGTCGCCGCTTGTTGACGTTCTAGCATTTACAACCTTCTTGTCTGCTACGTGTAAGTACGTGTTCCTGTTCGCGATGACATAATGCGCGAACACCACCGCTGCCGACGAACGCTCGCGCCATAGCGACAGGATTGATATTTATCGTCGTCGCCACTTTTTAAAATGGTGTTTTTTGGCAAGAACAAGTCGGACAGACGTGAACTGTTGGCCAGCATGGATCAGATTTCGTCCAATAAGATACACGAGAACGGTACCCACATTACCCATATTTTAAAAATATAGAATTTCGGCTAATTTTCGATTTTATACTATTTTTTTTTCTCATTTTCAAATGTCTTAAAATGAGCTATGCATTAATTCAATTGTTGAGTACATTAAACTGAATTTAAACAGTCGGGTCCTGTACTTCTTTTTTAAGTTATTTTTAGAACTCTATTTTATACTTTTTTATACTTTAAATTATTTCTTGTGATTCAAAATTTGTACTGTATTAAACTACATCAATTTTGCACTTGAGATAATTATCAATACCTATCACTTAAATAATCCGTTAATAGTAAGGTTATAAAATAGTAAAATAATTTTCTGACGTTTTCATAATTTGAATTACGTTGAATAACGTTAATGACGCTACTACTTCCGATTTAAATAACAAATTAACATTAAAGAAAAATGAATAAGAAACGATTCATTCCATTATTATTGCGATGTAATATGAAATCCAAAATAAAACCAAAACAAATATTCAACTATAAAAATATAATTTTATTTGAACTATTTGCGGACAACAGAGTAGATATTTAATGGTTTTATGAATTCATTTTAATCATCATATCTCTCTTGATAAATTAAAATGTCGAAAAAATAGCGCCAACGTTGCATGGGTAATGAACTGATCTTTAAGTTTGTTAATAAGTTAATTCACTCTACTGAACGAAAATATCCCGTATCGTATGATGGAGATAACACATTCGGATATCACGTATTCTTAAAATTGTTCAATTAAAGAAACTCTGAAGGGGGGGGGAGATTGTGACATAGTTTACCATCTTTATAAACACCAATATCCATTCAAACATAATTATAATTCATTGCTTATAAATGTCCAAAACCCATAAAATTAAGTCTAGACACGCCACTGTTGAGTTAACGCACGGTTTTCATACACAGAGTTTTACGTATATAATTAAACATACATTATATGAACTTGTAGTTGTTTTGCGATTATATCTAATGTTATTTATGTTTACTAATATTTATTTTTCGTGTGATAAGATGTAGTTTTACAAACATTTACGTCCCAAGTATAATGGAACTCATACATATATATTTACGTCGTAACTCATAATCGTAAATATTTATAAGGAGCGTCGAGAAATCAATATCATATATATCGGTAGATTATATTTTTAAACGTATCAAAGATCTGTAAACAATTTTGTTATATAGGTTAAGTACCTATCTATTTAGTAACTATTTGTGCTTATAATATATAATAGTTGAGTACAGTGGCGCAACCAGAATTAATTTTTGGAACTTGGTGGGGGAGGGAGTTATGAATCGTAAACACATTTTCTGACTGGTTTTCGGGATAATGAATGACTAAATAGTGGAAGGCTTTTCAGTAAGACATTTCATTTGCAATACGAATAATGTAACTATAATATGTACGTACTGTAGGTAGAATTGGTGAAAAATCTCAAATTTCGAAAGGGAGGGTATAACCACCATCTCCTCACACAGGTTCAAGATCCCATCTACTGAAACCCCTAAATTTCAACACCAAATCCACCTAATAGCTACCCAATTAATTTCTCTTGTATTCGATACATACCTACATAATGGCTTTCAATAACTGTTTGTGAACTTACATTTTATCTAGTTTGTTCCCCCCCCCCAAGAAGTAACGAATATATTTATACAAATAATAATATAATATATTGGTAATACAGGTTCTCTAAAATAATATAAAAATTAAAATTAAAATGAACAGTTTCTATCATTGTAACAGTTATGTGTAGAAATTATTTACCTATTTATTTCTTCCTCAGTTATAAATAAGTATTAAATTAGTAATAAATCCAATTAACGCATATTCAAACTTTTCAACGATATTATGTCTGCAGACTCGCACCTATCCGTTATTAAGTCGAGTGTTCTTTCCCTCAACGAATACATACAAGTATTGATTAGATAGCCCATACGATTTAATATTGAAATAAATACTATAGTTATTTTAATAGTGAATGTTTATTTTAAATAATTATTAACACCGTGAAATTCGTCAGGCTTCATTTATAACCAATCGAGCTTAAAAACGAAATAACCTCGTTATATAGCGTTATGCTCACTGCCTCTACCTATGTAAAATACTAACTAATAATAACTAAAAATCTACGACTTTAATAGATAATGCAATATAGTGTACGGTTATACGACGTTCAATGTTTATAGGGGTTGTGGGATTCAATACAATTCATATCTATAGGTATACCTATTCTATAAATAATATAACCATAGTATTACAAATAACAGCCTTTTTTCTAAAAGAAATCTGACTGAGAAGGTACTTTAGGAAAGTTATTTTTCGATTTTCCTAAGAGTTTCCCAGCAAATGTGAAAAGCCGGGGGAAAACGGGAAAATCGGATCAATAATAAACAAATATTATTAAAGAAAATATATATTGCCTATTTAATTATTTTATCATAATATAAAATTTTATTATAATACCTATTATTTACAAAAACACTATTAACTGAATTCTGATCAGAATCGTTTTTTTGTTAGCAATAGTTTATCGTTGCTTACAGGTATACTTTCAATTTTCTTCTGTATCCTACCTTCCTAACTTCTCACCTACAACAGTGGCTGCACCCGTCCCCATTATCTTAGGACAGCTTTTTCATTATCTTTAGTATGATTTTCAACTCCTGAAAAATATTTTTAATTTGATTGTTGAAATACATATGCTTTGTTACTCTCTGTTTTTGGCGTACTTTGTTCCCTTATTTCCAGGGTAACACAGAACTCAACAAAAATTTTACTAATAATTGCCATTTTCTTCCTTAAATAAATATTTTTTGAAGAAAATCAAAAAATGACCACCTCAATCTACCAACTAGATAAAAAAAATTCTACAAGAAAATTCCAATAAAGTTTTTGATTGAGGCAAGATATCTGGGTAGAAGAGTTGCTCAGAATTTTAATAAAATGCCAGAAATTTACTTAAGCTATTCTTCCTTGGGATCAAAGAATGTTATATACCTATGTGCGTTTTAGATTTTTGCAAGACGAGGTATGTATAACTTTTACAACGATGTTTATTTCTTTTTTTTCTTTACTGAAATCTGTTTAATTTATTTTTGGAAACGTCCGTTACTGAAATAATGTTAAATCAACCGTGGGATTAGTTTCGAAAAATAAAATATAATTACATAAATAAATAATTTAATTTTTAATAAGTCGATCCTTCATAAGGAGAGGTATAGCTGGTCTAGTTTAGTTTATCGACAGTATTTCGTTAGTAAACTTACGTGATGCATTATTGTATGTGTTAAAAAATATAATCCACTCAAAAGATATTTGTCGAAAATTAAAACAATAATTTCAGTGTTATCGGGATATAGACACATTTTTTTTCGATTTTGAAAAACAATTTTATACCTACTATATAATTTATGTCATGCCTATGTATTTTACAATTTTTCAATAACGAGTATTCAAAATCTCACAAGAAGTTGAGATCTGATCTAATTACCCCTTACCCTCGGCTACGTGCAGCTTAAGGTAAATATAGAGTGATTTTGTAGGCACCTCTCGCACCTCCCAGATACGACCCTGGGGTTATACCTATACATTTCGACCGTCAAAAAAAAAAAAAATACACCATTTTCTTAAAATATATTGTTCACGCTATGTTATTAAAATACAAATAACTCGTATTTCACAACTTATTATACGAATACTATTATCTAATGACGATTTAAAAAATACACGTGTTCATCTATAAATCGTATCGAATACTTTAATAATACTATAATGATGGGATCCAGTTCCGTACGGTCGAAATCGTGCGTAACGGTTTGTAATCGTAAATCGACTAAAAATATTATCGGAAAGTGTGAACTATAAGGCATATTTTTTTTTACCAATTTTAATAAAATAAACTGGTTTAAAACTCCATTTTATTAACTATTACTGTATTAGAATATTACTTCCAATTAATTTACATAATCGCCCGTATGGCCATATTGGAATGATTTTGGTAAGTATTTGTAATAAATTATAGTCGCGCAAAGATACGAACAAATAAACAATCGTTTTGAGGTTTTGAAAACCTAGACCTTAGTAATATAGTTATGATATCCCTATAATACTTGTATACTTTTTGTTTTTGCGACAAACTAAAACCAGTTTTGAAATCCTGAAGGTTAATGTTATATATCACAGTTTCGTAATTTTGTTTCGATTCGATCAGTCACTATATAAGTGGGCATATTAGCAAATAAAATATTTGAATATCATATTCGATTTATTTACGTATATTGGAGGGATATGGTACATGGACAAAGATCAAGGGCGAATCCAGCATCTATTTACAGTCAGAACGTTTACCGCGGGCGCAATTATTGTAGGAAACTGGACTGCTTAGCCCCTTCCATAAAACCATGATTAGCTCTACAAAAATGTTTTCTGCTAAAGTTCTCTATAATGTACTTATATACCTGCAATTTGATATTTTTCAAAGTACATTTATGTAAGTATTTCAACTTATTGTTTTGACATCAACCGTTTATACATATACAATCATAGTAAATAAAGTTTACTTTTCTTAGTAACGTGGGTTGCACTTTTTCCCAGTATCTCCCGCCATCTGGATCTACTATCTAATCTCCTGAAATATGTATGTATATAATTTTTTTAATGAGTGACTACAGTGAGTACTTAATTACTAAATGCTTTTTAAATTGTCGATGTGGTCACTGCGGCATTACAACAATAAAAAAGAAAATGTTTGTAAAATGTTATACAAGATATATTATTTTATATATTTCGACTCTTCATACTGGAATGTGGTTTAATTTGTATAACGCGAAAATAATACTATCATTTTGAGCGTCTGAATTTATGTAGTGTTTTGCGTTTGTTGCAGCTGCATTTCAACACGTCCGAGACAATATGGACGAAATCAATCACCACGTAAAGGCCAAAGAGACTGATATGATATTTCTGAAAACCCTGATGGACAATCCGGCAGTAGAATCTTTAATTAAAGTAAGTCGAATATATTGGTTGAAAAAAAAAAAATGAAATAGTATTTAAAACGCTAAATAAATTAAGACATTTCACGCGATGTAAATAGTCAGGTGGGTGATGGGTACCTATTGTGATGGTTTAAATACTTAAAAGGATTTTTTTTTCATTGGTCTATATTGACGATGTAACACGCGTAAATAGTAAATATTACTATGTGTAGTGGTCGGTTGTGCTGTAAAATGGGTTAGATTTCTTAAGAAAATATTTATGGCCATCTGATCGGATAAATCGTGACTAAAAATATCCCATTTTGTTCTATCGTATATTGCGAAATCAGAAATACATTATTTTTAAATCACATAATCGTGTGCACAACTTCTACGTGATTTAAATAGCATTTACATGTATCCACCTATATTTAAGTAGGATTATAAATTATTTTTTCCATATTACTATGATATTCGATTTGATATGGTACTTAATATAACTAACAGTTTTTTAAAAAAAATCTAAAAACTGATATCAAAATATGTCAATAAATCGGTTTTATTTTTATTGATTTCTGTGTTAATTTGAACACAAAAGGAAGGATGCTCAGTCATTGATTGCAATGACTTATTGTTTTTTCACAACTACTATACGAACATGTGTGAAATAAACCATATGATTAAAATATCATTTACGTGTGTACCTACCTTAATGGTATAGGTATATAGGTTAAACATGTATAGGTATTAACAAATTCGTAGTATGGAATCTATTGATTATTAGTATTAGTATTAGTATTAGTATTAGTAATTAGTATTAAATTAAAATAACTTCAATATTTCATACATTACAAGTAATCGAAGTATAAAATTAAAAACGTAATAATTACATTTAAATGTTTTGTACTAAAGTATTTTATAAATTTGAAGAAAAAAAACGTTATGAAAAGTGAGGTTTTTATTTGTACATGAGGGAGAGGTATATAAACTAAAATGTTCGTCATTTGCCCCCTAGAAAAAATCCCAAATTCATCATTTGGTACATAAACAATACAATTACAATAATCCCCCTATTAATATTATACACCTTTCATATATATTTCATAATAATAACTGTTACTAATAGTGGCCTATCCACAGTGCGAAACATGTTCGACTTAAATAAATTTTGATCAGACTACTCGTTATTATATTATATACTGTTATACATTTTTATATACCTAACATAACATATTAATTATCAATGATGTTCAAAGTGTATACATATTGTATAAGATCACTTTCAATTTGAATAATAATACATCATAGTTAATAAAAATGTTTTTTTTGTCACAATGTGTACCTAGGTATTGTATACGAAAATGAATTGTGTTAATTGTATTGTTCACTTGTAAAATATTTTTGTAAATAAAAATTTGAAAAGAAAATCTATCACGTTAACTTTCAAAGTTCGAGCTAAATACATAGAAAACCAACAATATCATAAACGAAACAAATTTAAAATCTATTATTAAAAATATATTGATATACTATAAACAAAAAAAAAACACCCGTGAGCGGCATAGCTCTGTTTCTAAAGTAGGATTCCCCCCTATAGAAATATTCTTTGTGATAAAATAAATAGCCGAGTACTAAAACTAGTAAAACTATATTAGATGGGGGGGGGGGACTGTAATATTTTATTCATGTGTTCAATGTTTTATTCATTGATGTAAAAACTTGTTTATGTTCGAGTAAAACTTTTAATATTATACTATACTTCATAATAAAAAAAATTAAATTATGAACAAAAATGTTAGGGGGTGGGTGAATTTTGATACTACCAAAAAGCACATTCTTGATACCAATGCTAAATATAAAATATTTAGTTTAAAAATCCTTTTCCCTCAACAACATGCTGGAAAAATTCATATTTAAATTCAATCCAACTTGTATTACTTCATTTTACGTATAAAACATATAAGTTTTGAATGGATTTTGAAATATTATTTGGTTAGAATTAATGCGGATTTTTAACAGAGTTGTATTTTACAGATATTTTTACAGTTTGGCTTCATATTATATTTATATTTAGTTATATGCAAGTAAATATATATAATTATTAATTAGTATAAAATGCACGTAAACAGGAACGCGTATTTTAAAAATGTATTAACGCAATGATGTATCGATTGCCAATGGTAATAATAAAATTCGAAGAATCGTCAATAATTTATGATATGTTCTGCACGAACGTACCTATCAATATTTTTAAGATTATTTTATGGATAGATTTGTTCGATGATTGCAAGCATTTTTATTTATTTATATTGGTAAAAAATGAAAATATCAACAAAAAACTCTCCCGTAGTGATCGTATAATATCCATAGTAGGTAAATATCGCAATCGTCGAAAGACAGAATGCCTTTGTTGTAATATATTATTTATGCCACGAGATAAATAGAAAAAGAGACGACCACTCTTCGCTCGTGGGTGAACTACTGTTGTAGGTGAGATGTTAGGAAGGTAGAGGGGGAATTATGTATATCTGTACGCAACGATTAACCATTGCAAATGAAAAATGATTCTCAGCGGAGTTTATTTGATAGTGTAGCTTTGTCAACAATTTATGTATGTTATATTATAATGATATAATTACATTTGCATTACATATTTGCTTTAACAATATTTGTTTAATATTGTACATATTTTTCCGTTTTTCCTATTTATTGGGGAAAACTCCTGGGAAAATCAAAAAAAATATTTCCCTAAAGTACCATTCTAGTTAGATTTCCTTTCAAAAAAGTGCTATTATTATAAATCGGAGCAAAATTTCTGGTAAAAAAATCTTGTCTACAGAAAAAAAAAACATCATTGTAAAACCAATACATTTCTCGCTCCGTTTGAAATCTAAAACAAAATATGTTAGTGACGAGACCCTTTAAAACGCTATTATTTAACCATCAACGTGTACGTGGAAACGATCATGTGTGCGGTTTCGACAAGGCGACAAATGATTATTTTTTTGTTTCATTCTATTTTAAAACTTAAGTAATCGAGTAATGTTATTCTATTGTAGCGACGACGTTGAACCACGTATGTGTATGCCACGAACACTGTTTATATTGTGTAGGTACATAATACGAGTACAACAACAGTAGGTAGGTACACGTCCGTCTATACTTTCGAAATTCTATATATTGAAATATAATAGTCAAAGAAGCCGTACAGGTAAAAAAATTATACTAAAACATGGAGTTGAAGACGGCGGTGGTGGCAGCAGCGCGAGAACACTATACCTATTGTGACGTGACCTCTTGAACTTATTATTTGTTGTATAAACGGTTTGGTTTTCGTGATGCGTTTTCTATGATTTTATCACTATTATCGGTACACTATAATAAATAAAACATAACCCTATATTATTATTTTGTATAATTATATGTACTGTTGCTATTGAGAGCTATGGTTGTACAGTTCCGTGATTCAGTAAATCAATGATCAATATTTAATCATAGGTATTATATTATAGTCCATGTATCAATGTGAAGTGTGCAAAAACTTTCAGCCAATGTTACTAAAAAATGATCTATTCCCGGTCTAAACATCCGTAGTCGTCTAATAATTGCAATAATCATTATTTTTCAATTGCTTAATTGTAAAATTCCATATTTTCAAAATCGAAATCCTTTGCGTCGTATTAAAAATTTATTGTTTTTCAATACTTATTCAGACTAAAACAACGAATTTATTAAATACTCAAGTTAACCAATAAACAATCGCATTAGTCATTATTTCTACATAATAAAGTAAACAAATTATGTATTTATGTCTTTATATAGTATTTGAAGTTAGAGAATAATACAAAATAACAGTTAAAACAATTGTGATAATCATAAAAACAATACACAAAGATGATAACGTGAGATTATAGTCGAAAATGTACTAGGTTATTATTATTTAACCATGGCTGATTAACTTAACGTATCTATAATCAATGATTAAGGAAATAATAGAAACTGTACAGTTGGGTAATGGTCTTAATCATTGATATTTGAATGTAATTTAATCACTGTTTAATCGTGCACGGTACAACTAGCCGTAAGACAGGTGTCTCTTCGCAATTTCGTTACCGCAAACAACGTTAGATATAATTTATTTCATGATGATAATTTTAATTTTAATCTATTTCACTATAAATAGTAAAACCTTAAGAAAGATATAAAATACCTTGCAATAGTGAAAAACCTCACGAGCATGCATGTATCTATCTGCAGAAATCAGATATACGTGAAAATATACTTTATTCTTTTCGTTAGTAAAATGTATAAAAAGTCACTTATAATTGCTACATAAGTCGTTATAATACCTATAATGGTAAATATTGCAAGAAATTGAATCCACGACTTAGAAGCTGCAATTTCTAAAAACTACCTACACAGATATGTGTAATCTATATATGTATACAAAACGATAATATAATGGCACACATATTATACTCGTATATAATACGTACACATAAAATGTTTCAAAGAGATATCTACCTACTTTCACAACCGGCCGGGGTTTAAAATGTTTGTATATTATTTTTGTATGCATCGGTATAACATGTATTATAAAAATTACCTACTGTAAACGAACAAATTAACTTTCATTCATTAAATTCGATTGTGTTTGTACAGTTCGATGCAGTTTAGGTGTTTACTATATCTAGAATCGTACTCAAATTTCAGGGGCCGTCACATGCAATAGAAATTGTCATCTCTGTTCTATTAACTGATAATAAAGCTAAAATGTGTTCAAGTAAAATTAACTAAAACTGTCTAAAGGACCCTTAAAAACAATGTAAGAGATAAATTATCAATTATAAAATATTTAGATAACTACATTTTGAAAACAACCTTATCGGCCTTTTTTAAAACATTAATTAGATATTAAAAAAGTTACATTATTTTAAAAAAAAAAAATGTTCGTATCTTCGATAATAAGTTGAATACTTAGAAAATTGTAAAACACCAACGCGATTGTCTTCAAAATGTTGTAATTTACAAATTGTATAATAGGTTTTTTATATTTAAAACCAATTTTAATGACATTTTCTGTTTTTATTTGTTTTACGTGAACATACTCGTCTGTTTGCTATATTATTTTTTATAAATAAGATAAAGAGAAAAAAATGTCGATGTTATGGTCTCTTAACCATAAGACTCGATGGTTTTCGATAGGGTATTTACTGTGTACATACAGTTACACTATAGGTACTATATACACACTATAGATACAATGTAAAACACGAAAAAAAAAAGTTTCTGTAAATCTTAAGAAAATTGTAATTATTTTAGTTATACTTAGGTATAATTACTAAAATAAACACAATTTATATTACTATTACGGTTTTAATGGTATAAGAACGGGCAATGATAATATACTATGACGAATATATTTCGTTTTTGTTTTCTTGAAAAATTATTGAGAATATACGCAGTGTATCCGTAATTTTTCATCAAAACGTTTAGAGTGTACGCCATATATTATGCAATAATATGTAGTATATCCTATTGCCCTATTGGAAATCCACATTAATAAAAATAAAATGTAAGGTAATATAATATGCCTATAGAAAATTGTATCAATGCCATTTTATACTTTGTACTTGGATCACTGAATTACAATAAAAAAACAAAATTGAAAATAATAAAAGTATTACTTTCGTAAAATATTTTCTCTTTTAAAAAAGGTGTGTACTTAATATTTCAGAGCAATATTCATGGTAGAATTTTTATACACAGTATAAAATAAAAAAATAAACATTCTAAAACCAATACAATCTTCGCTACACTCAGTATTTAAAACAAAAAGTAATTTTTTTGAAAAGTATTGGGCATTTTAAAAAAATTTTCAATTATTTTACCATCAGTCGAAAATCTGTATCTCTAAGGTACAGCTTGCAAAACTTATAAATATTTTACTGACAGTAATTATTTTTCGGGGGAAAAAAAACAACTATGATATATTAAATGTTAATAATTTAAAGCTATAATTTTTAAAATTAAAACGTTTTTTATACACTGAACAATAGTGGAGATTAACCTGAATTAAAAAAGTAAAAACGAAATAATTGCTTTTGAACTGTATTTCCAACCGAATTAATTGGAAACGATCAAAACTTATCAAGGAGTAGTATATAGGCAATCCCAGTGTCGTTTCAATAGAAAACTTAGTTTGGCAACGAACTTGCCTTTAATTATTTTAAGATTTTTCATAGTGGAGATCATTTAAGAATAGAAGTAGTTTTTTTCAAATTTGATTATTTACATATGTACAAAATTATAATTAATATTTAAAATATCAACATGTCAACTATTATTTAGTATTATGGTTCAAAATGACAATAAGTCATTGATAAGACATTTTTTATTAGTTAGGCAACTAAATTAACTGTCTTAAATTTATCATTTTTATTACACATACAAATAGCTAATATCTACAAGATTTATATAAGCTGATTTGGTTGCCTAACTAATGCAAAATGTACAACTGTTGAAATATAATAATTCATTGAAAAAAAATATTAACAAATCTCATAAGCAATAGACACCCACCCATCACTAAACTCAAATTCCCCTCCACCTCTATTTTTAAAATAAAAATAATCTTTTCAAAACAATTAATAATTAAAATAACCTAATACTAAAATAATACAATACAATATTTTAATATACTACAATTTTTTTCGTTAAACTATTTCCAAAAAATGGTAAAATTTAATCATAAAGTGGAAAGTTGAATCTTCCAAAAGGCATATTCTTCATAACAAACAAAATATGCATTAACAAAATATTATCCCTTTGGATAACATGGAAATAAAGATTTGAGTAATCTATAAGGGTGTACGAATCTAAAGAGCAAATACCCTCCACCCGCAATAATCCTGTTAAATTCATAATAAAAACTCAACCCAACTTTTATCACTTCAATTCTCATATAAAATAACTTTTATTCCTGTTTTTGGGTTATTTGGTTTCAAAAGAGCCGCTATAAATCCAAAAGTTACGGAAAAATAAAAGTATTATAATTTATAAGTATATTATAATAGACAGTTTAGTTACAGTGCAATATTAGAATAGTATCCAGTACACTACTGTGAATACAACTAGAACTATCGGCTCGAGTGATGAGGCTTTATAAATATCAAAATTAAAATTCGTCCGTTAAAAAAAAGCTTTTGAATCATTCATCTCGTATGTCCCTTATTTCCTAAATTTTATAATTTCAATTTATTTTATCAATTTTAGGTAACAATAATATTAAGGTGAATCAAATAATTTTATCTGCAAAATAATTTAGACTAAATAAACTGAAATTAATCATTATAATTATATATAAAATCAATTAAAAAATAATCTTAAGTTTTAATAATCTTAATTTTCTTTTAGATTCTGAGTAGAGCGAAGAAGCTTATGGTTTTACAAAGATGTTTATTTTTTATTTTTATTTTTTTTAATCTGTGCGCAACTTTTCTACCAGAATACTTACTCGGATTTTTTCGTGTAGCACCTTTTCTGAAAGGAAATCGGGGAGGTGCTTCTTTAGTGAGATCATTTTTTAATTTTCTCAAGTGTTTTCCAAGCAAGTATGAAAAACCGGAATGAAACATGGGAAAACCTAGAAAAACAGAGGAAAATTTGGTAAATCGGTACAACACTATACACATTTTATTAAAGAAAATATATAAAGCCTATTTAATTATTTTACTATAAAATGACATATATATTGTTGACAAAACATCACTATTAACTGAACTCCACTCAGAATCGTTTTTTCTTAAGCAATGGTTTATCGTTGCTTACAGATATACATTAATAAACATACAATATTGTATGTACCCAGATAAAAATAAAAATATTTTCAACATGCGTATTATTCAACAACAATATTCTAAATAAATTGAAAATAGTGGGTACACTTATTACGCAATATAGATCAAATAACATGATGGAATGAATTGATTGAATGAAAAATATAAAACCTTGGATACCTATTTATATGAATTACGTCGTATTAAATGTATTGTTATCTTTGTAAAATATATGTGTCGTATGTCGTTCTAATTTATTAAGTCACTGTTAAATACTGTACAGTAAAAAAAAACACGTACAATATTATTATTGCATCATGTCGCGCAAAAATAGTAATATTGCATTAATAATGTGCTATTTCATAAAAATACCAATTAAAAACTAAGGACCGTTTTCTCCAGTGTATATAAATACGTTTATCTAATTTTTAAACCGGTTTTATGGCTGATAATTGACCACAATTTGTCTGTAATCTCGTAAACCCCGTTTAAAAAGCAACGTTTATACTTTTCCATTGACGAGAACGGCCTTAAGATGTTATAGTGGTAAATTTATTTTCTCCTTCTCCATCACCTTTATCCCATCTATTCGAGGTCAGCCACCCTCGTCCTGAACTTCCACTTATAGTCCGATCTCTCTCCTCGCATACACTGATTGTCATTCGGGTGCCCTCATATTATTCTCATTCGAATCCAAAAAATATTTTTATCTGTCTTCCTCTTCCCTTCATTCTTCTTGCTTTTATTTTCCTTACGATTCTTACTGTATCAGATTCTTTTCACCTCATGGTATGTCTATATCATCTTGGTCTATTTTCTCTCAATTTGTCTACTATATCGAAGCCATGCCTAAGCTACCTTTTATGTAATCGTTCTTTATTCTATTTTCTCTCGTCACTCCAATCATCCACCTAAATTCTCATTTCGGGTATACTTATTCTCTGTTCTATTTTTTTGTCTACCTTCCAATATTTTAAACCATATCATATAATTGGTCTCACTACACTATTGTAGAACTTACACTTAAGTTGGAAATCTCTTGTTACATAAAAGACCTGACGTTTCTTTCCATTTTATCAAATCACATTTAATTTTATGTGTTATACATCCACTTTTTTTTTGTTTCCATATATATTATACATCCAATTCCGATCCCCTCTCACAAAAGTTTAGCACTAAATTAAGTTATAAAACTGACATACAATTTTTAATTATTAAATATTATAAAATATTATGAAAATCTAATAAATAACTGTCGTTTTATTATCATTCAGTCTGCTTTGTTTTACACTATTATACTCAATGAAATATCGTGACCGAGAGTAATTGTGCGACGTAATTATTCGAGTTTCGTATTTACAATATTAAACATGTTTCAAAGTATCTTAAAATCGTAGTATTTATATTAGATAAACTGTGCGTTCAATTAAAAGGTATGTGTAATTTCTACCAATTTATTTAAGATTTTGAGTGGAGTGAATGTATTGGTTTTGCATTGGTGTTTATAATTTTTTTTTTCTATCAACAACATTTCTACCAGAAATTTCGCTCCGATTTTCAAGTGTAGAATTTTTTCTGCAAGGAAATCTTACTGTGGTACTTTAGGATGTTATGTTTTTGATTTTCCTAGGAGTTTTCAAAATAGAATGGAAAAACCGAGAAAAAACGTAGAAAAACGGTAAAATTTCTGAAATGTATTATTCTCAAGTTGTAAATATTACGGTCTTTCAAAACGTGTATAATCAAATTCCGCTCAAAATTGTTTTTCATTAGCAATCATTAATCTCCGCATATAGGTATACATTAAATTTCTCTTCTACCTCTCCAACTTCTCACCGACAACAGTGACCCACCCATTGTGCGAAGTATATCAATTTGTTTTTTTTATATAAGTGTGTGTATCGGAATCTAATTTAAATATTATTTAGTTGGGGTCTGTGGATTATATTTTGATATATTATTTTAATGGATATATGTATAACTTACAAGGTCGACCAACTATATAGAAAAAATATAAAGATTTTTTTCGTTATATTCTATAATATCAAAGAACGTTTACAGCAAATACAACTCGTTAGCATAAATTCCTACTCAGCTGATTATAAGTTATAACACATACGTATATAAAACCAATACTGGTGTAATGGTGTGTACTGTATAATGTATAGTATAAAACTGCAGTAGTGTAACAATAAATTAAGCGTATTGGTACTGATTTTATATGCATGGTTATTTATAATTTTAAAATTTTTATTTGAAAATTTGAATTTAACGGTTATGGATGTTTTTTGATTGTTTTTTTAAATGAGTTAACGATTTTAGATTCTGAATGTAGCGAGTTGAATGAAATTTTCAAATTTCCCCTGATTGGAGCAAAAGAAAAAAAAGATCATTGCCTATTTGCATACACCTGTCCGTTCACTCATATTACTTAACAAGCGAAAAAAAAATCATAGCATTTTTTTATATTCACCTATAATTAGGATTACCATACCATAATATTTTTAGACCAAATCCAGATACCGTTTTAAAAATAAATAATAACAAAAAAAAAAAAAAAAATGATAACTTTTGGACCGATATAACCGTGTTTTTCGTTTACTTTTGTAAAATTCGGACATTTCCCAAATCTGGACGTACAGAAATTCCTACCTATAATGCCTAGGGCCCTTAGATGTCATGAGCTCATAGCTCATTGCCCTTCATGCCACCCTATCGATACGACAGTGAATGAATTACAAATTTATTTATTAAGATGTGTCATTTTTTCTGTTTTCAGCGATTCAATTATCAATGTCAGTAGTGTAGGTGTCTAATACCAAATTTCATCTATTTGGTATATTGAGGATTGAGGGCCTTTTTAAAATTTCCCTTGTAGCTTTCTTATACTAATGGAAATAACCCGAGATAAACGGGAATATTTATGCAAATAATTGTGTACACTTGATATTTTTGATATTTATTTTAGTACTTAGGAATCGTGGTGAAATTTTCAAAATATATTGGTATGTTCTTAGTTATTTATAACATAGAAGGATATAATTTAAATCTGTACGCAACGATAAACTATTGTTAACGGAAAACGATTCTGAGAGGAGTATTATTACTTATCAGTCGTATTTGTCCATTATTATCAAAGTATCTCAGAAATCAAAACAAATTATACAAAACTTGTCAGTTGTTTTGATTAATTAAGAAAAATTATACAGAAAATCAAAAAAAACCTCCCTAATGCACCAACTAAAAGTAAAAACTATAATTAAAATTCATATAAAGTTTTTGACTTGAGCAAATATCTGGTTGAAAAGTTATTTACAGTCACACAAAAAAACCTATCACAGTAAAATAAATGCATTCCTCACTTCTCTCAGAATCTAAAATTGTAACTTATTTCATAGTTATACAAATCAATATAATGTACAATTGTCAATTTAAATTTATTAAAACATGTTTAATCAAACTTTGTTCAGAATTGTTCTTAGGTTGCGAAGATTTATATTTGCGTATACAGATATAAACTAAATTACCTTATATATCCATGTATCTCCCTAACTTCTCTTCTACAACACCCACCCATCGGAAGAAGTTATTATTTCATTTTTATTTTTATTTTATTTATTTATTTATTTTTATTTCATTATTAATTTGTCAGAGCCTTTTTACCGGGTTATGCATACCATAAACTGTGAACATAGACGTAGATCTGTATCTAGGCTATAGATTTGAATAATAGTCGTTGTTGTCAATTAATGACTGATATCAGGGACATATAGACTAGTGGGGAAATTCAGGTGCCCGATCTGTCATTATTGCCCATTTTATATTTACATAATGTACACGATTATATATGTAGATTAAAAAAAAAAACTGTCTCACAAAGAAATTGTTTGCCATTGATCCTTCCTCACACAAAAAATATGTTTACACCACTAACTGATGTTAATTTGCGATTCTTGTCTATAGAGAACGCCGCGGTGTCTTTTTTCTATAGCGGTCGTAAGACGGTCATATACTCATATGTAATGACGTAGTATTTTATGTAAGTACATTATTTGACCGTCACAGAAATATTATCACACAAGTACGAGACGAAAACAATTTTTTTTTAATTGAAAAACATAAAAACTCCGCATATCTGCTCTATCTAATAGTCGAAGGTTATTATTGTATTTTATCCAAATTCTATAGATTAATGGTATACAATACAAATTCGAAAAATATTACATCAACGATTAAACGCATTATATATCAAAATTACTTTTAGCTTATTAGACATGACTAGACAAAATAATATGTGGTGTGATGTGACGAACGAATTATAATAATTTGAGACACGTACCTCAATCTAAAGAGTGCACTTTAATCTAGAGAGATGGTCCTTTTTTCAGATTAGAAGTAGATAATTTTTTTTAATTTCTTGTTATCCTATGAATGATTTTAAAGTATCTATTAGTAAAGTATTTAATAAATCTTCGATCTTATATATATGTCTTTAATTTATACAAAATAGAAATTTTAAACATTTACTGGGAACCTGATTAAATTGTTATTTTTCGGTGGTTTTTTTGTAAAATACTATGTAATTTATTAATATTTTAATTTGTCCGTATGTACATATATTATAGGCATTGCAGTTGTACATTATATTATTTTCATTTCCTTCAAAATTTAAAATAAAAATTACCTAACCCATTATATCTTATTGATTATGTTTGTAATATTGTAAGGTTTTTGTGTGTATATTAGTTGTTATGTTATAAACATGTATCAACATAAAGAATATAATGATTATATTGTATAAACGTTTTTAAAAAATAAAAATAAAAATTTGTATTATAAAGAATATAATGATTTTTCTTATTTTTTTTGGAGACGTTTAGAAATTCTGTGTGTTCAGTATATATAAAGACATTTTTTTTTTGTTTAGTTGTAAACTCTAAATATATATATATAATATATTTGTGTAAATACAAGGGTATTGTAACCGGATAACCTATACCTAAAACATATATTGTATACTTGAACTATCATTGTATTTTTATTTTCATTTTTTATCACAAAACGTATTATTGTTAGTAACAATTTGTTATAAATAATAATAGCGAGCATATCAAAACATTTCAGTCTAGACTCCCAAATGTATATTTTTATTATGTACTTTGTACCTCGTCATAAAAATACGGATTTTCACTCGTATGAATCACCAATAACTCTTTTAGCCACACTTTACACGTCCGGTATCGCGAATTGGTTCCTGAGCTCATACCCCACATGTCGAATTGGTTTCCGTTTGAAAAAGGTACTTTATGAAGGTGTACCGAATTGACATAGCACTTTTTTCTGAAAGGAAATTCGATTAAAGTGGTGCTTTAGGTAGCTTTTTTTTATTTTCCCAGGAGTTTTCTCAACAAATAGGAAAAACCGGGAAAAACATATGAAAATTGTGAAAATGTATGAAAAAATGTATTGTATTTTTAATTGTTTGATTTTTGGTTTATTTTGATTCGGTTAAAAATATTTGTAGAGACTTGAAATTAGGACAGAAAACTTATATTTGTCTTTTCTAGACGTGGTCAAATTTTCAAAACATCGTAGTCATTTGTAGGCTATTTATATACATGTTAATTTAATAGTCATTTATGATGTATTTATAATTAGTAGTTACTGTACCATAATATGATTATATATTGCTGAAAAGCAATCAAAAAAGGACTACTAACCGAACTTTACTCAGATTTGTTTTTCGTTAGAAATGGTTAATCGTTGCGTACAAATATACATTGAAAATCTCCCACAACAGTGGCTCACCCATGTGTGAAATATATCCGTCTTGTTTTATTATTGTTATTATTATTTTATATAAATTATGACTTGTTGGCTTCCATTTAAACGTTTAAAACGATTTTAAAATTTTATTTTTGTTTTTAATTGTTATTATGACTTCATTTTATGCAAATTTTTAAACTTACCTACTTTACTTCTAAGTTGACAGTCCTAACCAATTCGTCCAGTAGTGGATAATATTAAAAATTTAAACGGAAACTAATTCAGCTCACTTTCATAAAATACCTTTTTCAAACAGGAACCAATCCAGCTAAATAGAAACCAATAATTACGAAACTTATGTTACGGAAACAATATTATTTTTACTTTGAGAAGCATTTTCTACTGCGTGTAACTAACAAAATATACCTTTACAATTATTATTATTAATTTTACTATGGAAAATATTATATTCCATAAATTATAAAAGCCTCAACTCGGCAAAAAATATGTTTTTTTTTTTCCAATACTTTATGCGCAGGAGAAAACCAATTTTTAACTACCTATCTGTTTTGTAGTACAACGTATCTTTCGGGTGTATTGACATGCGTACGATAACAATAAATGCTGCCAAGCTAATAATGTAACTTGAACTCCATTGTGTGTACTCGTGTGGAATGTTTTCACGATGCATGCGGTGTGATTAGATTTGTTGTGATATAAATATACTGCTATTATTGCATAGCTAATAGGTATAAGTATAATAATAATAATAATAATGTATACAAATAAAAAAATAATGACTTTTATTTAAATTTACTTAGGTAGTTATAATAAATAGTCAATCATTTACTATGATTGATTTTAAAATTTTAAATTAAATTCCGAGCAATTGTATTTTGTAGAAAGATCATTTTCTAAACTTCAAATAATTAAAACACTATATAGATTGAGATCTGCAATGGAAGGAAAAGAAACTCGATCATTTTTATAAAGATTTCCTGCGAAATAAATATTAGTGATACAGACACATTATTATATACCAAAGATAAAAGTGTAAAACATTATATTTCATAACATAATGCCAATTCTATAGGTTCATTTAAAATAATTGTTCATTCTAATTTCACGTTATTGATATTTTCGATCTATAATATTGACAAAATCATTAATTAAATTTTTTCTGTTTGATAGTATTATAATATTTATCTACTGCTCGCTTGAACAAATTAAATGTAACACGGCGCCACCGAGTAAATTTAAAATAAATGTATGTACGTCGAAAATCCTTAAAGTACTGGTGATCATTGAAGCAACTCTAACATATCGTATTTTGGGATATCGTAATATTTGTGTGGTGTTACGGCGCGTGGCTTTCAAATAGTAGTCCACGCAGGCCCGTAGCCAGACCAAATCATTAAGTGGGGTAACCACAATTTTAGGGGGGATATTAGAAAAAAAACAATATTAATACATATATACATTCAATACTTGTTGGGGGGGGGCAACGATTAGGTCCGAGGGGCAATGCCTCCTGCACCACCCGTGGCTACGAGCCTGAGTTCACAACTGTTCTTCTTCTACCCAAACTAGTTAAATGTTTCGTAAACTAGTCGATAGAACTTAAAAATGTCTATATCAAAATTTATTTAAAGTAAAACTTCATCTATTTAGAGATTTGTTAATATAGATTGCTATTTTCAAATGAAAAGTTGGAAATGATTTCAACTCCAAAAACAAGTGACAAAAAATAACGGTATTGTAAAAATTCTACAGCTATTTATTTCTTACATTGTCCAAAAAAAAAAACAAAAAACAAAATTCCGAAAAAAGTTAATAATTTCCGAGATACTGAGGGTCTTATTGAGGATTGATCATTCCGCATACAAAACTGAATTAATCATAAAATATACGCTTTCGATTGAACGCCACATTAAAAAAATAATAATCTCCAACCGCATTGCTTTCAAAAAAAGCACGTAAAGATTTTTATATTTTTTTTCAGAAATAAAGAATAATCCGTTTTGCACAATATAATATTTACATTAATACACTAATCAACACATTTAAATGTGTTCATAGACCATAATTGTTATGAAATACTACGCGTACAAAACAAATGTTGTTTTAGTCTATATTTGCTTATTTTCACAGTTACATATTAATCGTAAAACTCGGAATGAGTTTAAATTAACTCGTTCAACTAGTTAAACAAGTATTATAACAAAACAAGAAACAAGTTCATATTTTATTCAAATTAACTTTTTTTAAATTATAAGTTCATATTTTCAATGTATTAGAACTATAATCGGATCGTTTGTTTATATACATTCCAAATTTTAAATTGATAATTCAAGAAAATAATTTAAGCGATTAACTTAGGTTACTTAACCTACTAAAAATAAATGAATAAATAACAACTACAATTTATTAATGCTAAGTAGGTAACGTAATTGTGCTATATTGCTCGTTAGAAATAATAGAAATGAATAATTATATTCGCATATCTTCTTGGGACTATTTAATTAGTACAAATACCTACTTCATATTTAATAAAACCACCGAGACTACGAAAATCTAGTAAAATACATTTTTTATGAACAAAAACTTATAAAAAAAAAAATATATATGAACTAGTTCATGAACGAGTTTATATTAATAACGAAAATTCAACGGTCTGATTATTCGTAACATGTTTCGTTTTAAGAGTGATAATTTGAATAAAATAATATCTACGCATAGAATACACACGCATAAAATATGTTTTAATTAATTACAATGTGTCGATTTGAAAAATAAATGAAAAACGACAATGATTATAATGAGTAAGGAACGAATTTATACGCTTTTAAAAACGTAAAAAAAGCACTTAAAAAATACTTTAAAAAAAAAAAAATGATAGAGAGATTAAAAGTCTCTCTCTAACGGTCACCCCAAATATATTTGATCAAGTTGTATACGTATATAGGTATTATAATTTCAATAAATCCGTTTCCTAAAGACGATTATTCAAATTTTAATATCGTCGATAATAATTATCAATTATTATAATTTATAATATACAGGGTTTTTCAAACGGTATGTTACGGTTTCGAGAGGATAGGAGTTTCTATACATATTATCTTATCAGTCAAACCTATATACTCTCAAAACTGTAACATAAAGTACATTATGAAAGACCCTGTACATAGATTCACCGAACTGAGTATTGAATTCGTTAAAATTGTTGAAGTTCAATGCCAAGAAAAATATACACATATATATTTATGAACCCGTTCTTTAGAATATAGGTATGTAAAGATCGAACGCTTTTATTATTATTATTGCTTATTATATAATAATTGGTAGCGCTGCAAAATAGAGTTTAGTTCATTAAAATAAAATATTCATTAGAAAAGTAAGCTGGCAAGTAAATCAGTTGATATCTGCGCGCGCAACGGTAAATCATTCGAAAACAAATTTTCAAACCGAGATCGACTAAACATATTTTGAAATTGAGTGATTTTTACGACTTTTGTTACTTAAAACGTTTATAAAAAAAAATGATTACGTTACACGTTATTATACGTATAATATATACAGCTTTAAAATCGCCAAATTGTTTTGAAAATTATATCTCGTTTAATAACTACTAAAATAAATTATCTCGGTGAAAATTGCGTGTCTACAATTATTTTTAATTGAATTACAAAAAAAAAAAAGATTTGACTCTACTTTAAAATTCTTCTTTCATCGCAATTTTCATGTAATTTCGGGGAGTTTTTAACCCCTAACTCCCCTCCCTCCCTTATACTCGCGTCTGATTGTTCCAACATTGTGGAAAAAATGAAAAATTACTAAATCCGGTTCGAAGAATTAACAAAATTAACACAGTTTTAAAATCGAAACTGTTTATTGGTAAGTAAATACTATATAGTCTTTCCCATCCGAACATGTCGAGCCCACCCAGATACCAATTCCTAACTACGACACTGCATAGGCGTAAATGAGGGTTGGCGTGGGTTAACTTACTCAGTTTATCTGTAGGCCACCTAGTGTTTGAACGTGGATAATACAATTCCCGAATCCGGCATGCAATTTACCAAAATAACGTGTTGTTGCAGTGTATACTGTATAATAGTTTTAATTCATCAAAAATGTTTGTTGTTAAAATTATATCATAATCATCAAAGAATAATGAATAGCATACAATTCATGCAGTTGCACGTCGATGTATTCGATATTTTTTTCATATAAATCCTAAAGGAAAATGACGTTTACGATGACGACGACAAAAATTATTATTACAAACACAATCGTATTATGCAGTATGTACGCATATAGTCTCTGTAAACAGTTAAAATTCTTTATATTTTTTTAATTTTATTTATTCTTCCGAGAAGATAATGAACATCACTGAATATGTTCGTTTATTTAAAAAAAAAAAAAAAGTATTTTTTTTAGAAGTTTAGATTTAATTTTTGTCGAGACATGTATAAAGTGGAATGTGTATAATATCATGATGGGACCTATTGATTCGGGTAGATTAATATATTATTGTGAAAAATCGCACGTAAACGAATGTTTTGAATCGTGCCGCCCGTCATATTCCCATAACATTTATCCAATGAATAGATAACATTATGGGCTTGAAAAAAATGTGCCGACGTTCATAGACCGGAAATCGTATTCACCCCGCTCCAAGGAATTATTAAACGTATGAAAAACCTAAAACCTAGTGGATGAAAAACCGCGACGTCGCGCGCTTCGACGACGACGACGACGACTACGTGTTAAGATAAAACAGACAGGAAAATGGAAAGTCCAAACCTATAACTACCTCCAGCTAAATACCGATAGTTAAATGAGAGAAAAAAGAAAAAGAAATGGATTGAAAATTATGTTTTTGGGCCCATGGGCGGAGGAGGAGGAGGGGCAAGACGGCTGCCCCTCTGGACTTGAACATTTTGAATATAATTTCAATAATTAGATAATTTTGTTATAATTTGTCGGTGTTTGATTTTATTATGTCCTTTCGTATGTGGGCCTGATCATAAAAAGGCTCAGGCCGGTTCTTATTTAGAGTAAATGAGTTATAAAAAAAGTCATTCGAAACTTTACTAACTTACCCCCTACTTTTACCGTTCCTCCGTGGTAAATTCCCGCTGGCGCCCATGCCCGGGTCTGATCTGCAGCAGGTTTTACTGCGCAGTAACCTTACGCAGTACCCGAGTATGAAACGGCCGATACAATTGGAATTATTCTAGAACAGGCGCGTACTGACCTGCCGGGTTACCGGGAATTTCCCGGTGGGCCCTTGATTTATACACGGTTTCCTTAAATTACCCATTGTAACTTTGTGATTTCTTAGGCAGGAAGGCTATGCAGGGTGGTACTTGAAGAACGTCTGTAAGTGGGCCCTATTTAATAATTTCCCGGTACGAAAATAAAACCCAGCGCGCGCCTGTTTCAGAGTGATAAAAACCGTCCCTCAGCCCCCCCGGTTTCCCTGAGTTCCCGTTCGTTATGTACGCGGTCGCGCGCGCAGGACGAAACGACAAAAATAACCGAATCCTACGACCGAATCGGTCACGGATCGCGAATATTATGTATCTCGTGTTGGACGACGCGCCGAGTTGTTTATCGCGGGAAGTATATTATTGTTATTAGTATTGTTATTGTTGCGCGTAAATTACGTGGTTTAACCGCCGTGGCGAGGGGATGCGACGGACGGTGGCGGAGTGCAGTAACGGCGGCGACCGTAGGCGATAATATTATTATACCACGACCGTGGGCGACCGAAAGAAGCGACGGCGCGACGTCGTGTAACTATTTTTTTTTTTCGTTCTTTTCGTCGTACGTTATTCCGTAGCAGTCAAAATTCACCTGTCGAGCGACAGCCAGTGCGAGTGCGTACGTCGTCATCGCCGCCGCGGGCCAACAACGGCGGCTGCGGCGGCGGCGGCGGCGGTAAATTATTACTTATGCGGCTGCTATGCCTACGTGCAGGTTTTTTCGAAACCGACCAGGTAGGGACGACGCGTCGCCGCCCCCCACCGCCGCGATACTCGCTCGCCAACGGTTTTTTTCCTGTTCTCCAATTTCGTCGCCACTTCGCGTCTTCGCCAGTCAGTCGTCGGTGTATTGTATCGTTGGACCGTGTGCGCGCGCGCTTCTTTATTTGCCGTCGTCCACCGCAGCGCGACTCCGCACCACCGACACCACGTACGCGGCTCTGAGGCGGCCCCCCCACCCACGACTCGCCGTAATCACGTAATAATCGACGAGGCGTGTTATGACACAACATAGGTAGGTACGGATAATCGTATTGTAAAATGAAACAGTGCCGTTAATGTTGTTATGTATCGAGACGTCGTCTGCGGACGGTAATCGAACGGACGATTGTGATGGAATTTCGTCGTCGGTGTTGTCGTTGTTAATAAAACGCATCGACGACGACAGCAACAGCGACGGTATTGTCGTATTGATAATTGTTATTGTTTTGATATCGCGCGATGACGACGCGGTAAGTCCGCGGCCGCGCCAGCGCTTTCGTGGCGCGTGCGCGTGCGTGTACAGTGCACGCCCGTCTCCGGAACGCGGCCGTCGCGACGAGTCGCCAGTGACAGTGCGCGGCGATACGCCCAGTTTGTCCGTCGCGCGTGCCGTTTGCGCGCTCGCGTTCTTTTTTTTTTTATCAAAAATACATTTTCGGATTCAAACTGCCGAGTTCGACGGAATTGTTTCGCGTTTTTCAAAATAAAAAAAAAAATCAATTTTGTTCCTTTAATGCATTAGTTTTTTTTGTTATTTCGTTCCTCCCCCCCCTCCCCCCGTAGCCGTTTTTAACGGGACCGATACGGATGTCAACGCAGTACGGTAGGTACCCGCTCGTCCGCGACTTATTCCGCAATTGTTTTTTCCTCCCTCGTGCCGAACAATAATTTATTTATTATTATCATATTGTTCGCCGTGTCTCGCCTCGAAACGTTTTCGCGGCGGACAGCGCCGGCGTCCTTGGCGTCCTTCGTTTTTTTTTTTTGCTATTCCGGCCCGCGACGAATCGCGTCCGATCCAATGACGCGCGCCAACAACAAAATCGCAGGTTTTTATTTCCGTTTTCACTTTTCGTTACGGCCGGGCGTGACGTCGCGATTATTACCGCAGTCATGCCCACTGGACTACGCGTCCAATAACAATAATAATTGAACTCAATTAACGCACAACCGAAGACGAGTGACCCACTTTTATTGGGCTGACCCGGTCCCCGGGCCGTAAACGACGTTTAATTGACGGGGCTCGCGACGAGTCGACGTACACCGCCCACGGTACCCGGGCGATCGTTTGAAATATTAATTAGTACGGCTATTGTCGAGTCTTGGTGCAGGTACTGGGAGGTGGTCTTCCGACAGCCGACGGAGCGGTCGTTTGTCGGATACCACCGCCTCCCCCCCCCCCTCGTCAATTTCGTTTTTGTTTTTTTCAACTTGACTTATTGTGTATCAGCCTATATATTAATATTGTCTGTTTATGGTATTGTTTATGCAGGTCCAAAACTATTTAGAAGAGTGTGAAACTTGTGTGCCAGTTGCAAACAACTCCAAGCAAACGTCCATAGAGTTATGTCACCACTGTAAATTGTCAATACATCCTGCCGCCCAAGATTTACTATCAATATTGACCAAGTTACATTTCAGGGTAGGCTGCAATAATATATGATGGTAACAATTTTTGCCCTGATTTATTCGATTCTAATTTTTGGGGGTTTTATATTCTATTTTAAGGCACTTCTTGAAGTACACGATAAAATATCCTTAAAAAGACTGAAAAAATCGTTTGATACGGTTGATTTACCCCCGACACCACCATCACCGCCACAACAGAACGGAAACAGAATGTCTACTCCAGCGTATAAAGTAATCGGATTGAGAAAGAAACCTGACGAACCATTAGTAAGTGTTATAGCACACAGATTAATTATTATCAAAAATTAATTGGATGCTTGTCACAAACAAAATATTTTAATTATAATAATTGTATTTATATTTATTTGTAGGGATTAACAGTCGAACAAGATGAAAATGGAAATCTCATAGTAGCAAGAATATTGTCGGGTGGAACAATTGAAAAGCAAGGGTTATTGAAGAAAGGAGATGTCATACTGGAAGTGAATGGTGAAAGGGTTGAAAGTCCTGAGGATTTATTGACCGAAGTTAACCGCAGTAAAGATACACTACAGTTTAGAATTGCACCTGGGTTTTATCATAAAGTTTCACCGAAAACCCAACAAGTAAGATAAATAATGCGTGTTATTTTTTTTTTTAAATTTTACTAATAATTACAATTTCACTTTTACCAATTCAGTGCTATATGCGAGCACTGTTTGATTATGATCCTTCAGAAGATACTTTAATACCATGCAAAGAAATTGGCGTAACATTTAAACACGGAGACATTCTGCAGGTGAGCTTTATATTTTAAATACAATGTATTTTTATACCATTGATTATGTCCAATATTAAACAAAATTATTTTATTTTATATCCTGAGAAATGTGAATGTTTAATAGCATGTTTATTATACAGATTCTTGATCAAAAAGATCCGAATTGGTGGCAAGCAAAAAAAGTAGGAAATAATGAACTTCCAGGATTGATACCATCTCAAGAATTGGAAGAAAGAAGAAAAGCTTTTGTAGCTCCGGAAGCAGATTATGTTCATAAAACTAGTATTTGTGGAACTAGGGTAATTATAATAAATACAAATATGTTATAATTTACCTATACAATGTTTATTTAAATCTAGTTCACAAAATATTTTTTTACTATTTTGGTTTTAGATTTCTAAAAAAAAGTGTAAGAAAATGTATCAATCAAAATGGAACGGCGAATTTGATAAAGCAGAATTATTGTTGTATGAAGAAGTTACGAAAATGCCTCCTTTCAAAAGACGAACATTAGCGATCATTGGAACAACTGGTGTTGGTAGACGAACATTGAAAGGTCGTCTTATAAACAGCGATCCTGAAAAATTTGCTGGAGTGATTCCATGTAAATATAGTTTTTATACAGATTAATTATTTATTAATAAAATAAATTATTTTAGTGAACCATCTATTTGAATAATCATTCACATTTGCAGATACTACACGACCTCAAAGAGAATTAGAAGAAAATGGACAAAACTATTGGTTTACTGACCGTGATCAAATGGAACATGACATTCGAGAGCATAAGTTCTTGGAGTATGGTGAACATGGAGGAAATTTATATGGTACAAACTTGGATTCCATTCGTGATGTCATTAACCAAGGGAAAATGTGTGTTTTGGACTGTAGTCCTGTGGTATGTGTGTGTTTATACTTGTATATATATTTTTTTTTAACTCTTTTTATTTATTTGCTACAGTGGTATGACAACTCCTTTCATTGTCAAGTGCAATTAATAATGATTAATAATTCTTGGTAGTAATTTTATGTAAAAAATTTGTTTGTTTTAGGCTTTAAAAATTCTTCACAACTCTTCAGAATTCATGCCATATGTAATATTCATAGCAGCACCCGGTGTCGAAATAATGAAAAGTCTCTATGATTATTCGAGGAATTTAGGTTATTCCAGTCGTACATTAACAGTAAGTGCACATTTTTATTTCTTTATTGATTAAAAACTGAAACCTTCATTATTTTGCTCCTACTAAGTATCTTCTACCAACTCCTACTAAATATTACTACCTGTTATCACTATTTATATGTATTTTATGTAGTGTATTGGTTTTTTATTTGTGAATTTAGTTTGATCGTCAAAGTTCCATTAGATATAGTTCCAGAAGAGCCCGTACATTGGAATCCCTTGCATCTATATATGAGGTAATTAATATTCAAAATTTAACAATAAATAGTAGACAAATTTTAATTTTTCTAAAGGTAGTTAAATATATGAGAATAACCAATAGACCAACACATTTTGTAATTCAGTTTTTTTGAAAACCAATAAGTATCAATAATATTTGTTATGAATGAACTATCCGTATGAATATTGAAGTTATGAAAATTAAAACTTTTACCTGTAAACTGTACCTATATAGACTATACTAAATTATTGTTATTTTGTATATTTAGGAAGATGATGTGAAGAAATCTTTAGAAGAAAGTGCTTGTTTACAACGTATGTATGAAAAATATATTGACCTTGTCATCGTCAATGAAGATTTTGATACCACATTTCGTAAAGTGGTTGAAGCCTTGGAAATCATATCAAATGAACATCAATGGGTGCCTGTGAATTGGGTATATTAAGTACAATGACTAGTGACAATGTACAGTGTCATTTTTAAATTGGATTGATTGTTTTATATTAGTTTATATTTTATTTACATAAACCACTATTCGTAACTATATTTTTGATTTTTAATCTATAAACAGTTTTAATAGTATTTTATTATTATTATAATAATTCTTTAAACTTCCCAATTTAATTTGCTTGGCTATTATTATGTTCCTGGGACTAACATAATATATTGTCTCATATTATGATCATAAATACTTATTCCGTCCCATTTAATTTTAATTGCATTATTACCCACCATTTATTTTACGGTATGTATTTGAATGTATACTATCACCAAAATTATCTACACATCTTGATCTAAAAATTAAAAGTATTATTAAATTAGGTGTATTTAAAATAAGTACAATAATAAAGTTAATAATAAGTAAATATTTTTAAATATTATAGTTAGAATAATTATATCTTTATAGTTGATAGTTTATTTTATATAATGTAGCCAAAGAGATTATACAGTAGGTATTGATTATAGGACATCTCCAATACAGTGTATTATTTAAAAATAATTTCTATTTTCCAAAATGCTGGACATGGATGAATTTATAACTGATTACATCGTTCTAAAATATACACTATACTACACTATGGTTAACATAATGGTATTCATGTCCAATACTAATTTTTTAACAAACTGTATAATATCTTTTTTTTCTCATTGTTTGATGTAAAATAACTAAGATACAAATATATTGAACTGAGTGTTGTGTTCATTATTCATTAAACAGTATAATAACATCAGTAAATTATGGTATAATAACTAAGTATATTTTAATCAAACATTTATTTCTGTATTAAGATATTATAAGCATATTTGTATTATATATATATATATTTTTAAGGTTTAATATTTTTTTACATAAACACTGATAGTTATTATGCATAGAAACTGTGCCATTTCATTCAGCTTTGCACTATTTTTTAAAATTTTATATTAAATGTCATGTCATAATATTGTAGGTATTATCTAAATTATTCTTTCGCTTTTGTAATATTATGTTCTAGTTTGACTATCTAGCATTATAGTATTAATAATACTATACATAATAGCATAATAGTATACAATTTGATGCAAATGTTGCATCAATGCGCGTTACATGTTGCCTTTATAAATTTAATATTAATAAAACAAATAGATTTTAGCTATGACATATCGTACCAATATAAGTATTATGATACAGGTAGGCAATGACCATGACCAAAGGACATGCCTACCTATTAATGTTAATACGTAGTTTTAAAATACATAGTTTATGTTAAATAAGTAAAGTACCTATATAGAACAAAATGAATTCGCATATAAGGTACACCTATATCTACAAACCGTCCATTTGTTGTAATTAGTTTAATCTCATGTTTATTTATTATAATTTTTATTGTAATAAAAACATATGTGTATGTATTGTTCATTATTGGGATTAATTGTATTGTTCTATTTTTATTTAAACACCATCTCTCATCACATGACTTACTATACTGTCACAATAATTGTTATAAAATATTATTATTTAGCAATGGCAGTTGAACTGCGGATAAATATTATATAGGTTATATATATAATTATAATATTATATATATATAGGTTAAATATTATTGTATTCTAGTTATTTACATGGGTAGCAAACAGTTTGTATTTAAGATTTTTTCATATATTGAAAAATACTTTGAGTAGTAATTGCATTATTGAGATTAACGAGGAGAAAGCAATCTAATTTTCTTTTCACGAAATATTAGACCATTGACCATTTGAATAATTATAAATTATAGATTATAACTTACACCAGTGGTATCAGTCCACATTCACAGATTAAAAAGGTTCGCTGCCCAAATAATACAAATTTAATAACATTTTTTTTTTTCAAGGTGAAGAAACTTAAAATATATAATTAAAAATAGCCATTTGGTATATTAGATATTAAGAAAAATGTTGGTGGTTGAAACTGGTTTTGGGATGGATGATCTTTATTTTCCACAATTTTTTAAAGTTTCGGCAAATGTGAATATTATTATGGTTTATAATCTATTATAATATTTAATCAGTAATCAAAATACATCAAATTTTAAGTATCTTCTTTTCCATGAGTTAATATCAGTAATACTATTGACTAAACCAAAGTTTTAACCTCCATAAATGTTCTACAAAATGGCTATTTTGAGTTTCCCCACCTAAAATTTTTTGATTTAAATATATTATTTGTAGCACAGATGCATACTTCCTAATTATTTCAAAAAAAATATATATTAAAAATATTGAATAATAGAATAAAAGTTATTTCAAGTTAGATCATCGTAGGACAAGTGAAGAACATTGTTAAATATAATGATATTATTAGGTTTTGTTACCTAATTTCTACCACCTTTTTCAGCCAGTACCTATCATGTGCAACTTCAGCTTGTTTTTTTAAATATTTTTTTTAGATTCTGAGTATAACAAGAAATCTATTGCAGTTTTACTATGATTTATGTATGTGACTGTAAATTACTTTTATACCAGAAATCTTGATCTGATTAATTTCTTCTTGGTTTTTAGTAGGTACCAATTTTGTCTAGTTATAGTCTATTAGAAAGATTATTGTTTTATTTTCCTTATTATAGTTTTCGTAATAATGACTGGCCAGTTTGCGAGTAAGAGAAATATCAGTATTTAAATAGTTGATGAAAAGCAGATTTATTTTCGTAAGTTGCATTTTTCGGATTTTAAATCCTCAAGTATTATTTTAGATTCTGAGTGGAGCAAAGAAGCTTATAGTTTTACAAAGAAATTTTTTTTTTTTTGTCAACTTCTCTATCAGAAATCTTGCTCCGATATTTAAGTGTAGCACCTTTTTCTAAAAGGAAATCGTACGGGGAAGTACTATACAGAAGTCATTTTTTGATTTTCCCCAGGAGTTTTCCAAATAAACGCGAAAAAGCATGGGAAAACCATAGGAAAACCGGGAAAATAAGTACAATATTAAATAAATATTATTAAAGAAAATATATAATGCCTATGTAATTATTTTACCATAATATGACATTTATATTGTTGGCAAAGCAACACTATCAAATGAACTCTGCTCAGAATTGTTTTTCATTAGCAATAGACTATCGTTCCTTACAGGTATACATTAAATTTCCCCTCTAGTGTCTTCCCAAATTCTCACCTAGAACAGTGGCTTCATCCATGTACGAAGTTGCCTGGCTCTTTTTAACTGATATTTTCCAGATCTATATCTCCGCATAACATTTTGCTCAATTTTTCATTCTTATAATATGGTTATATGTACTTATAAAATTCCTTTTTCTTTAGGTAATTAGTTTTTATTTTTTAGTTACAAATATGCATTTGATATTTTCAAGTTGTTTTGTCTGTGTGGCCAAACTAACTTTTAAATCAACTACTTCAAATACTTTATTTGAAAAATTAACTCACACAATATACAGATTTCTAATGTATATATGATTTTATTATTTTTAGCCAATTAATGTAAAAAATGCTGCGTTCAATAAAGGTTAGATAAGTTATACTATTTGAGTCTTTAAATAACTTTTTTAACAGAAATCTTGCACCAATCAATAAATTACAAGAGATCACCCTTTTTGTTGTATTTTAGATTAATTTTCAGGCAATTAGCAATTTAGTTTATTTTTTTATTAATTTCTTTTTGCAGTTGTTTTTTGTGTGCACTATAAAACACTTCATGTGTTACAAAATCCCAAATGTGCACCTGTCATCTGCAGTTTTATTATAGACAAGCCACATAGCTCTATAAGGAAAACATTTATTCAACTTTTCTGATTTACAATGTAATCAATTCTGGATATGACATTCATTATGTTGGAAAGAATCACTTTTTTGAAAATCTATATTTTTAAACCATTTATAAAAAAAATGGATCTAAAATATTACATTACAGTTTTCTTTTATTTTTTAGTTCTGGGGGTGAAATCACCAACCATATTTAGTAAGAACCTATATACGAATTGAGGCAATTTTAATATTTTCCTTATAGTTTTCTTCAGGTGAATACAATTTTTTTTTTTTTGGGGGGGGGGGGCTGGAAGAGGCACTTTAATTTTTTATTTAGTTCTTGTTAAGATAGAATACTTATTATTTGTTATTTACATCCCTTTAGTTTTACAATGAAAAGTAAAAACAAAGTTTGTAGCCTTATAGAGGATATAATATACTATAAAACAATATATTTTATAATACTTATAATAGATCTACTACTAATAAATTGTATTAATACATAATACATGTATGTAAACTATATTATGGCATTATGAAAAGAAAAAAGATTTCAGGAGGTTACTGCACTAGTTTTCTTAATAAATGGGCACAACTGGAAATTATTGGTATAATTGGTTGATTTTTGGGTTACTTTATCATTAAGGGAAAACATGTTGTGCACAGATACAGATTAAATTACTATATAAATTCTCCTTTCTAATCTCCTCCCCAAAAATCTTGGTCCTTCTTCAAATTATTATCTCTAAATAAATAATATTTTATTTATAATAATAAAATGTTTGCCATAAATAATGTCTGACAAATTTGTATTCTGTCCATACTAACTTATCTGATCAAATAATAATAAATAAACATCTAGTTTTTTTGTTTTTAAATAATTATTATTATTATTTAAATGCTTCACACAATTCGATTAGTTTTAATGTTTAGGAGATTCATAAAATGTTAACAAAATCATATTAAGTACATTTCAAAAAACAGCACTTGTATGCATATAAAACACAAACTAATTATTATATTACGATATGTAAAAAATTGACTGGCAAAAAAAAACCCGTAAATATATTTTAATATAAGTACATAAATAAATTTATAATCTAATACACATTTTCTGTTTGTCTGTGAATATATATGTTAATTATTATTCAATGATGGTTAGGTGTTGGTGAAATGTAACATTATTTAACAGATTAACTATATGCATATTATTAATTCTTTAATTTTATTGTTAACGAGAAGATTTATTTTCTTGAGACAAACAGCAAACCAATTGGTGTATGCAATTATAATTACATAATATGATATAATGTGAGTTATACTTAATAATTAGCCAAAACAAGTTTTTAAATAATTTAAAAAAAAAAACACAATAAAAATAATACATTTTCTGTAAGCCTGTCATATCATCAATAATATATATTTTTTTTTTATTAGACTAGAAACACACTAAAAAAAAAAAAATTAATATATTGCTTAAAATATAAAAATGTGTAAAATCTCAAGATAACATTTCATTAAAACTATAAGCCTTAGTAGAAAATTTATCACAATAATTGTGGTGTTAGTAGTTTTATAATAAAATGATATTTTACCTATGTTACAAGGTTTTATTTTTCTTTTAACATTTGTAAGCTTATATTACTTATTATTACTAAACATTGATTAATATATTGAGCTAAAAATAGTTATTTAACAGACACCAATTATATTAACAAAAAAATATTAACAGAATGTATAAGTATATTATAATATGTATACATAAGTATAATTATTTTAGTTAATAAAAGTAAATTCGTTAGATATCTGTTAATAAAATATAATATTAAGGTATATCAGTTTATTGCGTGACTAACATAGAAAATTATTAAGATTAACTTTGCATATAAAAATCTAACATGAAAAATATAGAATATCACACAGTGGAAAGTAATAATATAAAAGCATTCTCAGAGATCAGTTTATTTTTATATTTTATCTGGTTTAATAAACAAATTAGTAAACCAAACAGTATAAAATTGTATTGCACATTGATTATCAGTTTCTTCGGCCATTATTTTCCACCTGGTCAGTTCCCAAACTATGATTGTATTATTCCTTTAAATTATGTATTATGTATAAGAGTTTAGATAATATAGGCTCAATAAACTTTCATCAGTTTGCTAATTTAACAAAAAATACAGATTATATATAAACTAAAAACCTACATTTGATATAAGAAAATATTATATAATAATTAATTTTGTACAAAAATATTATTATGTGATGTATTAAATACATAAGTTAGAAAACATTTACTTTCGTAGAAAAAATTAGTTTGAACAGTAATTTATACAAAATTTAGAAATAACTATTAATTGATGATACAGTATATAATTGTACATATATATACATGCACTGTAAAATTAAAATTAAAAAATTGCACATTAACTAACATTATTAACTATATTTTATGTGTAAAAAAAATATATATCACTTAATTATATATTTATACAATACATAACAGGAACCTGACAACTAAATATCATCTGATCAACAGTGAAAACATTTTTTTTTTTTTTTTATCTTATAAACCTATTTATAGCCATATAATAAAGTAACTTAATAGTAATGATTTCAATATTATTATTCTATGCAGTATCAAATAAATTCTAATATTTACATATTTCTTTAGCTATAAAACACATTACATTCATAAACAATAAAATTTCTGTAAAAAACAATTTGGTAAAGTATCAAGTACTGGAAAATAATTTATAGAAACATCAATAATAATTAACTAGTACAATGATTTTAATAAGACCATGGTTAAATTTAACCATGAATTTAAGTACCTATAATATGTATTAAAAACAATGAAAATAAAAATGGAACATAATCTGTAAAACAACAATCAATAGATATTAATAATAATAAAAAAAAATGTATATGTATACACAGTAAGTTCCATTACAACAAATGCCGATATAATGAAAAATCCAGTTATAAGGAACTATTTTTACAAGTTAAAATATATTTTCCCTTCTTAAAATTTAATCTAAAGATAACAAGCACACAATTTAATGAAATTGTAAAATCATTAAATTGCCATTATGTGTTAACGCATAATCAATCAGGTGTATATTTTCATAAAGCTCACACGTTGGTCATTTATCGTATTTTATGTTCGTTCTTTATTGTACACATGTACATGATGGGTCCTAACAGTGAAAAGAAAGCAATTTTTGTTGGAAGAAAAGAAAAACATTATTTCTAAAGTAGACAAAGGATTGAAGAAAGGCAAGGTGGCAAAAAAGTATGGCATATCTCTATCAACATTGTCAACCATTTTGAAGGACCAAGAAAGCATCTTGAAACAACTACAGACTTCTGTTTTTGTCCCGAGCAAAAAAACGGTGCATAAGGCACAATTTGAAAACGTTGATATTCAAATGTATTCAAATGATTTCAAGATGTTAGTTCCAGAAACGTTCCTCTGACCAGTCCTTTAATTCAAGAAAAAGCCTTAGAATTTGCTAAAATGCTCGAAGTTGAGAATTTCCAAGCAAGTGTCATATGGTTAAATCGTTTCCGTGAGTGGTATGGTGTGGTAACCAAATGCATTTCTGGAGAGGCGAGTGATGTTCCAATAAATTCTGTTAACGAATGGCGAAACGGAGAAATTGCAGCACTCATCAATAAATACAGCCCAAACGATGTCTTTAATGCGGATGAAGCTGGAGTGTTTTTTCAGCTTGAATCAAAAAGGAGATTAGCCCAGAAAGGAGACAAGTGTGTAGGGGGTAAAGCTTCCAAACAAAGCATCATTGTTCTGTTTTGTTGTAACAAAACAGAGAAATGAAAAATTCTCATCATCAGCAAATCCGCAAAATCTCATTTTAAAAACTGTAAATCACTGTCATGCATCTATAAATTTAACAAGAAAGCATGGATGACTCAAATAATTTTTAATGATTGGTTGATAGATTTCGACAAAGAAATAAAAAAGAACAGGAAAATTCTTCTTCTTATCGACAACTGTGCTCTAAAATGAACCACAAAAATTGGATAACATTCGTGTGGAATATTTCCCACCTAACTGCCCAGCTGCACTTCAACCTCTTGAACAAGGTATCATCAGAGCTGTAAAATCAAGCGAAAGAAATTTTTTGTTATTTGGAGATAAATATCCAAAGAATATGCAGGTGAAGGAAGCTATCGAATGGATATGTGGAGTTTGGGATGATATCAGTCAATCAACGATAACTAACTGTTGGAAATACGCAACCACAACCAAAGACACCAATTCGGTTTCAGAAGTGGCCGAATATGATGAATCAAATACACAGGGCACTTAACAATCTGAGTTAGAGCAAATTTGGATCACTGCGAAAAAGAAAACTTCTTCTTGAAAAAGCTTCTTGATGATGTAAATTTAAAAGATTATCTCAGTGCAGATGACAACATTTCAACATATTATGAACTATATTTATTCGAAATTTCCGTAATAAAATCGGTCCCATGGAGTTTGTTGTAACGGGAACTTACTGTATATACATGAAATAAATAATATAAAGATAATCTTAGCCTGGTTGTTTAGATTTAAACAATTATAATCAAGTTATAGGCACAACAGAGGGAAAAATATTTAACTGAATTATGTTAATTCACCAACATATTATATTAATTTATATTAGTATTTAATTATATTACAGGCCACTTATTCTTCATATTTTTTTATTTCATACATGTATATTGTATTTATTTTCTTCTTTGATATTAATTTATTATTACCAACTGAAAAACATCAATTAGGTATATTTCTTTTACCTTATTATACAGGAACTGTTTGACTATAGTCGTAATTCTGGTATAGTTGATCACAGTGATTTTGAGATTCTATAATAACTGTAGTATGGGGATGATGATTAATTGATTTATTCTCATCACCATTATGTTTCAATTCAATTTCTAAATCATTCAATGCTGTGCCAGAACCATTAAGTGTCAATGTAATCAGAGAAGTTTCTGCTGTAGATCTCAAAGATGGACGTAGTACTTCAGGGATGTAGTCACTGTCATGTGAATGATCACGTCTTCTAGCTGGACTAGGCTGAACTGTACATGGATTTCTTGCCTATTTAGATAAACAGGTATTTTAAAAATAATTTAAAATTTCCTATTAGTATTGGAAAATTTGATTACTTGATATTGTATAGGACTCCATGCAGTACAATGTCGGAAAAAACATTGGGATAATGTAAATGTCAATGTGACCACCAGTCCAACCAAAGCAAATATAGTTATATCATGAAGCCCATGACGCACCATTGATAATGAAGTGAAACTGACTTGTAAAAGTACTATAGAAACCATAACACAATTTATAGCTGTACTGTGTATACGTTTACTAATTTTTGATTTGCCATAAGCAAAATATATATTATATCGATCAACAAAATGTTTAGTAACCATATACAAAAGACCTAAAAAGGAAAAAAACCATCATTAATATTTTTACACAATGTTTGATGTTATTTTTGTATTTTTGTACCAAAAGGGGTAATAAGAGGACAGGCAATACTATAAACAGTTACAATTGAAAATATAAGTAACATCCAAGCATACTGAACACCAAATGGAAATTCCCAAAGAATCAATCTTCTGGCACTGTGAGATTCTGCTTTTGATCTAGAAAGAAAAAAAGAAAAATTAGATAATAGTTAGACAAGTTCCATTTATGTAAATAGGATTAAACATAAACAATTGTATGTATTGTAATTAAAAAATAATATCCTTAATATATATTATATTAATATTATGTTCATTTCTCACAATGGGTGGGTTTTTACCATATAAATGTAGAAAAAAATCACTAGGCAAATTATTTCAGAAAATGTTATGTATACAAATAAATTAATGTATTGATTAATTTTTAAAATAGTAATAAGTATTTAATTAAAGTTCCACAAACAACATTTTCCTAACTGATAATAGCTTTAGTAATCAAGATGCAAAAAAAAATAATTTCAGTTTATTTAAGGCAAATAATAAACTCAATATTGCACATAAAAAATAGCCTCATCTAGTTTCGTGATCATAGTGTAATGATTCCAATCACAGGTTATTCTTGTCCTTGCTTAGTTACTAAATGCCTATACAAATTGCTTTATTGAATAACATTTAGTAGGCAAGTTTTTTCTTTCTGAAAATCATTATCTATGAATTTAACTTTAATATTCCATAGAATTAAACGATAAATCAAAATAAATAATTAAATACAACCTGAGACCAGGTTCATTAACTCAGACCTTTTACTTTACTAATCATTGGCTAATTTATTGATTTTAGGGTTTAGGTAACCCCTACAAATAAGCTATCATATGATAATATCTTTTGTGTTATCTTCATGAAAGAATTAATGAAAAATAAAAAACAAAACCTGTAATGTGTTACCTACGCTGAACAGTTTTTGAAATACCTTATATGTGATTAAAAATAGTAACATTCCTATATGACATTAACTGTCATTAGAAAACTTTCTATGTAAAATTGAAAAACCTCCTATTTGATTTAGGCAAAACATTTTAACTAGTAAAATCACATTTGTGATGAAATATTGAAAATTTATACAATATATTAACCATAAATATTAAGTTTTTACTTAAATTCTTTTTAGAAGAAATAGTTTTGTAGTATTATAATTGAAAAATTTATTTCAGTCAATTATTGACAATTTTTGATTTTTTTAAAATGTTTATCATGTTTCCTAAAAATTCAGATTTTAGTATGTTATAGGATTTTTCAAGTGAAAGATGATATAATATAGTTTCATTTTAACTACAGCAGAATCTCAATCAGTGGAAAAGCTTGATTACTCAAAAGAAAAAATATAGATAATTCAAATATTCTGTGTTAGAATATAGACAGATAATTTTTATAATCATTTGTCTAATCACATAATTGAAGAGCTAGGTGCAAGAAGGGAAATTTCTAGAAAAACATGTTTTGACATAAACAAAATTAAAATTTCAAACACTGTGACACTCTTTTAAATTTGCTCACATGATTATAAAATTTGTGCTATATGAAAGAACAAATATTAAAGAAAATAGTTGTCTTTGTTTTGTTTTTCTTTGTGTCCACTAAAGTTTAAATAAAAGAGATATTTGTTCATGAAAATGCCCTTCTTGCATTAAACAGTAATTATCTGTTCTATTTCAATTAAAATGATTAAAGAACTTGAATTTTATAAATTTATTCATAATTTTTATTAATATAAACATAATAATAAATAACAAAATAATAAATTATCACTTAACAAAAATACAAATTGATTAATACTTAATAGTTAAGAAGTGTAAAACATTGCAAAGAAAACACGAGACTACTGATAATAGTTTAAGAATGGTTTTTACCAAACCTATTAATCTATAACGATTTCTAAAAAAACTAGGTTATCTACCATATTTTGTTTAAATCATTAAAAAATAAAACAATATTATTTAAAAATATAACATACATAGTATGCAAGAAAGGCATTTACACACAATCACATAATTCTTCTACAGTGCTCAATTATTACAATTTTATACACATATAGAATAAAGGTCACTGAGTTCAAAAAATATTTTAAGCAAAAAGGGCATTTCTGTGAAAATGCCTTTCTTGCACCCAGTCCTTCAATTTAATCTCATCATTTTAGTTTCAGCGTGGAGTGAGGAATGTAAAGATTTTACAATGATGTTTATTTTATTATTATTATTTTTTAATCTGTGAACAACTTTTCTACCAGCAAGTTTGTTCATATTTAAAATGACAGCACTTTTTCTGAAAGAAAAAATCTGACTAGGGTGGTACTTTATGGAGGTCTTTTTTTGATTTTCCCAGGGGTTTTTTCAATAAAACTGGAAAATCAGTATAATATTAAACAAATATTATTAAAGAAAATAAATAAGGCATATTATGTAATTATTTCACCATAGTATGACACATATATTGTTGATAAAGCAACATTATTAGAGAAATTCCTCTCAGAATTATTTTTTTGTTAACAATGGTTAATTCTTGTGTAAAGATATATTATATTAAATTTCCCCTCTACCTTCTCTACTTCTCATTTACAACTGTGGCCCACCTATGTGTTAAGTATGCCAGTTTTTTTTTTAAAAATACAATTTTAAAATAATAGTAATAAAAATACACCTGTAATTACATGTATATATTAATTAAAAACTATAATATACTTAGTTATCTAAAATTAAATAATTATTAAAATTAATGGAAATTATGTTTACTCAATAAAAAATTTAGTGTATACCTTGATAATGCCAATCTGAGAGCATACATAAATAACTCAGGAAATCGTATTAGTTCCAAGCTGGTTCCAATAAGAGCAGATGTAACAACATAGTTCACAAAGAATGCTCCTTTATCAGGTAAAAACACACATTGCCAACGATATGTTTGAATTCCAGCTTGAAATGCAAACTCTAAAAATGCTTGAGCACTAAATTTATCAATAAACAATTAAGAATTATACAAAAAAAAACCATGACATTTTGATCACATTGAGATACTTTACCTTGTCAATCCAAAAGATGGCAATATTAAACCCATGAAAAGGAGAAAAACAAATGTCTTGCGCATTATGGAATGGTTTCTTTTAGACCTCGTCCAATGGCTAAGCCATTGATCAGACCTTATAACAATGACAGGTAATAATGCAGCAAATGTCCACAATAATAATGTAGGCATAAATTCTGATAATATAGGACTCTGTAAAATAACGTTTATTACAATGAAAGTAGGTATAAATATTATTGTATTAAATATTGGAAGAATCCTAATATATTTACTCACAGCTTTTTCAATTTCTCTAAGTTTCAGAGTATCCATGACATTCAAAACAATGACAGGAGTTGTCAAAAAGAATAAAATTATAATTAAAAACGAATTAGTCAATACAATTTTACAATATCGATTGTGAGATGGTTCAGTCAGATTTTCCCTAAAAAATAAAATTAAAAAAAATATTAATAATTTGTCAAATAAATCTAAGAACATTTGTATACAAAAAAATAAATGGTTAACATAATCAAGAAAAAAAATATCCTGATTTAAAATTAAAAAAAATAATTATATATTTATTGTTTTTTTGTATAAATAAAATTTAAATAATTTACAATGAAAACCTAATAGAACTTTATTTAACAGGATAAAAATTTGCAAATGTAAATGGTGCAGTCATAAAAATTAATCAGGTGTAATAAATAAGAAAAAGATAGTGGTTTAAATGTTTCGTACCCATAGTAATTTTTTAAAAAAATAAAAAAATAAAGTAACAGATTTTGAAACAGAAAATTTAATTTCAAATGATGAATGTATATTTATAGGTATATTATTTAATACTGATAATAAAATATGTTGTTAAATTTATTATAAAAAGATTTACCAAAATATATCATCAGGTGGAGGAGCGAAAGTAACTCGCCAGCGGTATGGTTGAAGAAGACCAGATACTGAACTCGTTGGTGGATTATGACGACCACACTTTGATAACTTATAGATATGGTCTTGATAAATAAGTCTGGCAGCATGAATTGTTGTCATAGTTACAAATGCTATACCTAAAGGTCTCCTCTTAGCAGATTCTTTTTCTGCTTCTAACTAAAATAAATAAATATATATTTATATAAGTAAATTTAAAAAGATATCCTAGGATAATAGTGACAGGCATAGCTACTGTTAAAGATAATTTAATTTATATTTGTAAGCAATGGTTTATCATGGTTCTCCTTTTTTTAAAATTTTTCTTTACTAATTTTCTACTTTATTCCATAGAGCTGGAATATATTTTTTTTCTTTTAGAAGGAAATCAAAATACATTTTATCAAATTTTCTTGATAACAATGAAGAAAAAAGACAAAATGCCTTAAAAACCTAAAAATATCAAAAAATGTTCTACAAATAAAAAATTACTTCACATGTGGGTGGGCCATTATTGTTGGTGAGAAGTTGTTAAGGTAGTAGAGAGGAAATTTAAGTATATCTGTAAGCAATAATAAACTATTACAAATGAAAAAACTGATTCTGAGCAGAGTTCAGTTGATAGTGATGCATTGTCAACAATATATATGTCATATAATGGAATGGTAAATACCTAATTAAATAGGTATTATTTATTTTCCTTAATAATATTTGATTAATATTGTACCAATTTTCCCATGTTTTTTTTCCATTTATTGGGATAACTTCTAGGAAAATCAAAAAATTACCTCCCTAAAGTACCTTCCTAGTCAGATTTTCTTTCAGAAAAAGTTCTATCATTTTAAATCGGAACAAAATTGCTGGTAGAAAAGTTGTACACAGGCTAAAAAAAAAAGGCTATACTATTGTTTAACTAATACTTACATTTCAAACATTTTCTGTTTTTCCAACATTTTATCCCGTTTTTCCCAGGTATTATAAAAACTGTTTGAAAAACAAAAAAAGACTTCTCTAAGTGACCATAGAGATGAAATTTCCTTCAAGAAAATATGCTATACTTGATACATTAGGGCGAGAATTCTGGTAGAAAAGTTTGCACAACAAATCGAGGGGTATTTTGAGATTAAAATAACCCAAGGTAGCAATGGCTTGGGTCTCTAGGTACACCCAAAATGCATTAATTTTTTCCTTGTTTAGGTATTTATTTTCTTTGAAACATTGGTTAGGTATATATAACCATTCAGCTAGGACAAACATACTCCAGAAAAGACAATATTTAGTTATTTAACATATCATATAATATCCGCATAATATCAGAACTTCAAAAAACTACAATTTCGAGACTTGGTCAGTCTGTTCAATTTTGACTTTACCATCATTCTAAAATTGGCAATATAAATATGTTTAAGAAAAAAAATTTAAATACTAGATTTGTTGTAACTTTTTCGTCAAAATTTGATAAATTCCCTTATTAAAAAAAAATACTACTACATTTAACTCATTTTTATTTTTAACCACAAAGTAAGACTCTTAATGAACTTTCTGTTAAATTTTGAAGCATTTCTGTTTAAGTTGTGTTTTACCACATAGTACCTACTGAATAAATATTATGTAAAAAACCCCTTAATTAAAATTAAAATGTTTATACTATAAATACCTCAAAAATGGCTTAAATTTTTTGAAAATTTTACCAAGTTTAGAAAAGGAAAATATCAGTTTTTTTTCTAAATTTCAAGTCTCTAGAAATATTTTAAACTAAATTACAATAAAAAACAAAATTGAAAAATAATAAAAGCATTATTTTCGTAAATTTTTCGGTTTCATACGGTTTATCCTGGGGTTTCCCAGACATTATGAAAACAGCTTGGAAAATCAAAAAAATGTCCTCCCAAAAGTACCATCTGGACATAATTCCCTTTCAGAAATGGTGCTGCATGTATATATCTAAGCAAATCTGGTTGAATTTTTTACACAAATTTGTACATACATTAAAAAGAAAATAAACATCTTTGTAAAATCAATACATTATTTGGTATACCCAAAATATAAATTTTAGATGGATAAAAATAATTTAATTATAGTTCCTCCACCAAAAAAAAATTGGAAGACAGAATGACTAAACAAATTTATATCCATACATCTTCTCATTGGTTTAATACAAAAATATAAGAAGTATTATTTATGAGTATTATATACAAAATATTTTATTTTATCCACAACAAATAGTAGACTTAAAATATTCGAGTATTTGAACATAAAAATGATTCATAAATTGTATTCATAAAAGGAAAATAAAGTGTTGGTTAGCATTAACCATGATTCAGCATTAGTTAGCAAATTTAACTGCCAGTTAGATCTAATAGGACATTGTTTTAGTGTATTTTAATATAAATAGCCTCATCTAGTTTCGTGATCATAGTATAATGATTACTATCACAGGTTGATCTTGTTCTTGCTTGGACATTAAATGCATATGCACAATTACTTTAATGTATAACATTTAATAGGCAAGTTTTTCTTTCTGAAAATCATTATCTATGAATAAAACTGTACTGTTCTATAGAATTAAATAACTTTTCAAGACAGATAATTGTAGATACAACCAGAGAAAAGTTTCATCAACTCAGACCTTTTACTTCACTAATCATTGGCTATTTATTTGTCACAGAAATATATAAATTAATCTATTAGATTTGTATAAAATGGTTCAGGTCTGATTATAAATATGAACAATCATTGGCTGACCACACACGCAGAAAAATTTTAAATCACATAAGTACACACTCCATCTCAATGGGTTTGCTGAGCAAACTTTTTGTTAGGTGTGCTTAGTGTACCTTCGGTGTTTATCACAGAACTGTTTAAATTATTTTAAAAATTACCTAATTATTAAACTACTGGTATATTATTCCACATTATTCATTAATATCAGAACTGAAAATTTAAATATTATATTACCTATTAATATTAAAAAAATGTTTACATGAACATTAAAACAATAATTATAATTCTAAAGATGAACAATAAAAAGCTAGAAGGGCAAAATGGTTTGATTTTGTCATAACAGAATTATGGGAAAATCTATTCAATATTTTAAAATTTTTATAATATGGACAATCTATCTTTACAAAATGAATAATTAATTATTTCTATTTACTAGATTATCAAACATTCAATAAGTTATTAATGGCAACTTACTTCTGCTTTTAATCGTGATTCTTCTCCAGAATAATAATCAATAGCATCTAAATTATTAGAAGTACAGAAACCACAACCAATGCAAATGTAACCACAGGTATGAGGTTGGACAGTAAGACGTTCCCCCACAGTTTTCAAATAATTTTCACAATATTGCTTTGCTTGTACTGCAGTATTCCTATACAATAATAATTTCAATATATGTAAAAAATAATTAATATAATACTTACATATTTCTATCCAATTCATTAGCTTTGTTGACATCATAAGCGAGCTGAATATTTTCCACATCACATTCAGGATATGCTTCTCTAAAATTAAATTTCATACATTGATAACATCAAATACATGGTGATTAAAACTAAATAAATACAAATAATATAAAAACCAACTTGAAATGCTTGTCCAAATCATTAATGTGAGAATTTCGCCTAGGAATATTTGTAATCATCAATGTACGTGACCAACATTCTCCATTTTCTTCCAGTTTAAGATTCACAGAAAATCTTCTCATAATGAAAATGGTTAATGGAAAATATAACATTGCAATAGTTACATGCACCCATAGCCACGGTGAACTAGAAACCAATTATTTTTAAAGTCAAATTAATGACTAATTTATTTTAAGCATCAATACTCTTTATCAAAGAAATAAAAAATAAAAATCAGAAATACTTCCCACATGGGTAGGCCATTGTTGTAGGTGAGAAGTTGGAAGGTAGAAGGGAAATTAAATGTAAATCTAGATTAACCATTACTAACAAAAAAAACCGATTCTGAGTGTAATTCAGTTGATAGTGTTACTTTGTCAACAATATATGTATGTCATATTATGGTAAAATAATTAATATGCATTACATATTTTCTTTAATAATATTTGTTTAATATTGTATCTATTTTCCCCACTATTCCTATTTATTGGAAAAAATCTATAAATGAGACATTCTTAAAGTACCACCCCAGTCAGATTTCCTTTCAAAAATAGTGCTATACTTGATATTTTAGAGCAAAATTTTTGTACACAGTATATAAAAAAAAAATAAAAAACTTTGTAAAAGCAATATATTTTTCACTACACTCAGAATCTAAAATGTTTTAAATAATTTAATACTTATTATTATACTTTATGCTAATTATTAGCATAAAGTTAAATCATAAAACAAACAAAAAATAATTATTATTTCTGATATCAAATTTTAAAAGAGTTTATAGAAGTTAACTACTGTATACTACTGTATTACAGATCATTATAAAGTAATTTATTATTTAAAAATTTCAGTATTATTAATATTTGAGTTACCCAAGACCCAAGATTTTGTGAATAACCTAAGATAACAATTATAAGATAAAAATTATTTATTATAAATTTACTTATTCATTAATAAATATTTATATTAGTAATAAAATAATGGTGATTTTATTAAAGCAAAATGCTAAAATATCTGTAAAAAAAACTTACTCAGCTCGAAGATTACTGACTGTAGTATGACCAAACGATCTTTCATCACCTTCTTGTTCACCAGCAAAATTTATTGGCAAAACAACACCCAAGGAAACTGCAGTAATTATAGCCATTAACACCATTATATGTCTTTGGAACGATAAATATTGAACAGCATCATAACCACATTTACGCAAAATTTTTTCATCTCTAAAATAATTCCATAAAATTAAAAAAATGTTTCCTTTATTTAAATGGGTAAATAAAAAAAATGCATAGATTTTAAATGTGTTAAACCAACCTAAGTTGAATAATTGTTAAAAACCAGGAAAAAAGACCTCTGTCTACAGGCATTGAATTGTCCAATGTAGTAGTAGAATTTCCATCTTCAATGTTACTTTCTGAATTTTCATCAGTTGTACCATAAAATATACGAGACCACCTAATCAAACAAATTTGAAACAAATTAATAAATACTTAAAGAATAAATACAATATGAGGTTCTTTAATATGCCATCATTATTATACCAGTGTTAATAAAACTTTATTAATTTAAGTAATCATGATATTTAAAGTATAATAATAAGGGTGCAGATTATAATGCAAATTAAATTTGTTCTAAATATCCTAAAGCAATGCTTTCCAAGCAAAAAACTTGCTTTATATATCAAAGAATTAAAATATAAAACTTTTATTTTGAATTTTAGATTCTAAGTGGAGTGAAGAAACTTCTGGTTTTACAATGATGTTTTTTTTTTTAATCTGTGAACAACTTTTTTACCAGCAATTTTGCTCAGATTTACAATGATAGCACTTTTTTTAAAGGAAATCTGACTGGGGAGATACTTCAGGGAGGTGATTTTTTGATTTTTCCAGGAGTTTTCCAAATAAATGAAAAAGCATGGGAGGAACCTGGGAAAATAGGTACAATATTAAACAAATATTATTAAAGAAAATATATAATACCTATTTAATTAGGTATTTACCATTATATGACATATATATTGTTGACATGCATCACTATCAACTGAACTCTGCTCAGAATCAGTTTTTTCATTTGCAATGGTTTATTATTGCTTACAGATATACATTAAATTTCCCCTCTACTACCTTCCTAACTCTTCACCAACAACAGTGGCCCATCCACGTGTGAAGTAATTTTTTATTTGTAGAACATTTTTTGATATTTTTAAGGTTTTTAAGGCATTTTTTCTTCTTTTTAAAAACTTCATAGTTATCAAGAAAATTTGATAAAATGTATTTTGATTTCCTTCTAAAAGAAAAAAATATATTCCAGCTTTATAGAATAAAGTAGAAAATTAGTAAAAAAATAAAAAATAAAAAAGAAGAGCCTCAAATCTTATTGCATGTCAGATTAAGTAAGATGTTGATATTTAAATAAATTAACATTAATTTTCAATATCCTTATATGAAGAATATGAAGACAATCACTCTATTAATCAAATTAATAACTAGAATAATCAGAATTTTATATATTTACACTTTTTTCTTTTATCCTAATATATTGCTTATATTAGTTATATCCCCAAAAATGTGTCATGAAATGGAGAAGCTAATGGTACAATGTTTATTTTGCATTTTTAGGGAATTGTATATTATATGGTGATTTTTTAATATCATTAATATCATTTAGTCATATTATATGAAGGGCTATGGGGATAACTGATAATAGTAAAAAAAAAAAAAAAAATAATAATAATAATAATAAACAAGATAATTGTCAATGATATAACAAAGGTTTAAATGTACAGTTTAATAGGGTTTCAATATAGTTTTGAAACTTAAAAACTGCAATATGGACTATTATTATTTTTCCCTGTAGCCCTTCATATGTTTTTATACTTTCTAATAGAAATTATTGCATTTTTATCAAATTTTTGAAAATTCTGGGCACAATATGATTTAAGATCTTCAACTTTAAATATTTTTAATATTTATTTATATTCTAAATTAATTTTGCAATATTTATGATAGCCTGATAAATATAATATCTATACTAATAAATAAATTTAAAAAAAATTAACAAAGAAGTGTTGTGCCTATTAAAATATATTTCAATAATTTTTACAGTAAAATAGATATTTTGAACACAATTTTGATTTGTTTTTAGATAATTTTGTTAACATTTTGATTATTTTTTTAAACATATTTTCAGAAAGGGGTCCATTAATAACCAATTATTTAATTCTATATATTTAATTTGTAAAATATAAATAACCCCTAAAATTGTCTCATACAGTTGTTAACTTATTGATGCAATTTAATAACTATAGCTTGTTTACCAATAGAACAAGGTTCTGGTTTTTGGTCACTGCTTAGTTGCGTTTTTTCAATGAACAGAGTATAATACTAATACTAATTATTAGGGCCAGGATTTACATGCTAAAACAAATTTTTATTATTTCTATATATTTTGGTTTTCTAATGTATTTTTGATGAATGACTGTTTAGATTTTGTTTTTAGATTAATATTTTTTGTATGCTTGTTTGTATTTAAGTATTGTTTATAAAAATGGCACTGTTATTAAAATGGCTTAAATTATTAAATATAAATGTCCATACCTTTATTGTTATTAATTAAATGAAATGTGTAGGTAATTCTATAGGTAGTCCAACAAAAATAAGATTAGATAGGTAGTATATTTACGATAATTGGAAAAATAACCCAATAATGATAGTCCATTAAATAAATACCATTTAATATTAAAAATATTATAAATTTAAGTTTAAAAATTAACAAGATTTCTCAAAAATCTATAAATATTCAATTAATAATGCATATGCATTATGTTTAAAATATGCAAAAAAAACAAATTCTATTTAATCGAGAATAAGCCAAATCGTGAACATATATAACAACTAATCAATTTTGACTTTAGGAAAAAAAACATGCAATTGCATATAAATTCTAGCCTTACAGCAATTATTATATTTAATATATTTATAATAAAATACATATTTACAATAGTATTTAATAAATAATAACAGATATATAGCATATTTAAAATATCTTGTTAATAGAAAACATACGTACTTTTCATAATCTTTGTTTACTAGAGCTAATCGACCATAATCCCAAGCTCTTTTTCTCATGAATGCGAAAAAAATAACTAAAATCTAAAAAACATATTGCACACTTTAGTGCCCATACATTTAAAGTATTGGTTAGGTAGACAAATAATATGATATAAATTATTTATACTTACAAGACATCCCAAAACATTGAGTAAAAGATTTTCGGGTATTCCTTCATAGGCTGTAATGAGAAGTCTATTCCTTGTACGATTATAATAATTACATTTTTCTCTATCTGGAAGATTCATCGAATTTGTTACATTTTCCATTTTTTAGAAAATATAAACCTATTAAAAATATTTAAATTAAATTTGTAATAAAATAAATTATACTTATTATTATATCATAATCAACAAATAATAGTGTGTTCAGTAAAATTGTTGATGGTAAAAAAAATAAATACTTTTTTGTTAATTGTTTACAATGTATAGAGTATATAACACATATAACAGTTATTATGATAATTGTAGAACATATATTGTTTTTATGAGTAATTTACAAAAACATTTTGAATCTAAAATTTAACATCCTAATAGTATTTCTTGTTAGGGTTACCACCTTTTAGTGTCAAAAATACAGTAGGCATTTTTTTTGACAATATCAAGTTTGATTTATAGGCATAGCCCCACAAAATTCGAAAAAAAAAAATGTAAATATAATACAAAACTCTTGGTATACAAACTTAAGTAGGCATAGAAAACAATTATAATGAATGTATATTAAAAAATTAAAAATAAAATAAATATAAAGTTCTCACTTGTATTATATAATACATGTTAAGTACATATACAAACTAAATACTTTTGTTAGGTTTTTTGTATATATTTATAAATAAACTAATTTGATTTAAGATAATATAATAAAAATAACTAGTTGATTTTTTTTTTGTTTTAAAAATATATTTTTTGGTTACTTATTACTGCTTTAAATGAGTCTTTGTCTACCTTTATTTTTTTAATGAAATCTAAACAGGCTTATACTAGTTACTTTTTTTTTACCACTTTTGATTTATGATAGAAAAACTTTCAACTTTAGAATTTGATGGTGTAGTATGTCTCAACACATAAGATACTAAAAGAAATATATTTTTGAAATTTTCTTTAATACAACTTAAACATATTTTTGTCCACTTAAAATATATATTTTACTATTTATTATAAATATTATGTAAAATAGTTTTTATTATGCAATATACTCATTAAAAAGGCTATCTAAAGAAATATTTTCTAACTGTAATGTTTTGGTAACTTTCACTAAATCATTGTAGGAAATTAAATTGTTTAATTGAAAACATTCAATCACTTTAACCATTTAGATAAACATGAATTAGAATTGACATAAAATTTCCCTAAGATTTTCTTATATTTTTCATGTTTTTGTATTCAAATGCTGAGAACATGAAATAAAATGTACACCAAAAAATTATTGCTGCAATCTTTCTGTGATTTTAATTTTTGAATAATTCATAATCCATCAATAATTGTTTTATATAATTCTGTAGTAGAAATGTCCATATTCTGTAACCGATTAACTGAACAATTTGAACCACATATGCACAAAATGTTAAATATATATAGTATATACAATAATATATATATAGGTTCTAGTATAAATATAACTTTGTTGATCTGTATCAGTATCTGCATTTTTGATAATAATTTTTGAAGAACTTAGGGATATTTATTTCTTATTAATATAAAATATGATATTAACACTAGATAAAATTTTAAAACTTTGTCAATTGCTAGACCAAGAGATAACCACCTAGTTGGTACATGTTTTACCAATTCTTTCCAATCAATTAAGTAAAATTATAAAACCAAGCCAAATGACCAGATTTAATTATTTTATTCCTTTTAATTGTTTTTGTTGTGTAAAAGTGTACCTATATGCAGATTTATATTTGCTAAAATTAGCATTGGCGTTATCAGCACTAAATGGTGTAACATAACATTACAATTTTTAGAAAAATTAACTTTACAGAAAGGTTATCCTAAAATTTTCTGAAAATAATAAAATAAAAAGTTATTTCAAATATAAATATTTGTAGTCTTCATCCCTGTGAGTAATAAAAAAAAAAAAAAACAGAATTTGATTATCTTTACTATCTGTGAGATATTCAAGGGGTATATTTTCGTGGGATAGCCTGTATGTATTAGTGAATATAACTATATAAATATAATGTACTGCGTATGAATGATAACTTGTAGATACACAGTAAAAAAATCATGGACTTAAAGATTTTAAATATAATATTATTTTTAGAACTACAGGACATATTGTCCCGTTCATTAACCCAGAACACAGATCAAATTGAATACAAACAGGAATACAGTACCTATGTCACAAGTCGGTATTGATAGGCCCAGCGCTTGCAAGTTTTTTGAATCAAAACCATGAATTATGAAAAAAACCTCTGGACAAATTATGACTCTTAGAATGCTCTGTTTTTGATGATTATATTTTTGATATAAAGAGAAAGACTTCTTAAAGATAACAATAAACTCTTTTTTCAGTATTTTTGTCTTTAACTAGTACCTACCTATTTCAAAAATATCAATTTTTAATTTTTTAAGTAGGTATATAATTATTTGAAATCAAATGAAAAATTGGAGTTCAATTTTTTGTCTATAGAATGTTTATAGTATATTAGTAAACAAAAAAATGGTAGTGAAATAATATGTTTACAATAAGTTGTTACTATTACTGCAGTAATTTTCCTTTGTAAAACAAACCCTCCCTCTAAATGGATATAAAACAGTGGACAAGACTTATTTTATCTTAAATTTAGTCATTAATAAATTTAAAAAATTGAAGATAATTTGGAAAATCAGAACTCCTTAACATAAAATTATTTTTGGTATTACAGTGTTGATTTGCATTTTTCTATAGGAAATTTTAACTTAATTAATTTTTTTTTGGACATATTGAACTAGACTGACTCATAGTAGACAATGAGTAAAAAATAAAATACTTTATAAAGAATAATATTACGTTTATAAACTTGTGAGTTGTGAATGAATAACAAAATATAATTGTTAGAAATTGATTAATAAAATTAATTGAGGTGCCTCAATGCAAAATGTACTTTTATATTTTTCTCATTTTTCATTATTGCAAGTTTTCTATTTAGGGTATTTTGAATTGGTGAAGACCACATTTAAAGGTATTAAAAAATATAAAATATTCTTCTATTTTTTATTAATTCATGCCAGTTTAAATCTTTTATTGACTTATTTTCTGTCAAATAGAACTTTTAGAGAATAATTAAATTTAGTATTACATTTGTAAAAAGCACATTATGGAAAAAATATAAACAATTTTAAACAAAACAGGTAAAATTTCTAGAAAATAAAAAAGCTAATTCATTTAAAAAAAGACTGGCATACTTCGTACAATGAGCTGATTATAGCATTGTTATAGGAGAAATTTAATGTATATATTTACGCAACAATTAATCATTGTTAACAAAAAACGATTCTGAGTAGAGTTCAGTTAAATATGCTTTGAAAGGCATATATTTACAATTTGAAATTAATACATTTTGTAAATTTTAGTGTTTTTCCAAATTATTATAACCTCTGGAAAAATCCTAAAATGTTTTTCCTAATGAAGTAACTAGATAAAATTTCCTTTCAGAAAATGTGCTATACTTGATAATTGGACATGATGATTGATAATAGAAAAAGTAAGTTTTACATTGAGGCCCTTCAATTAAGGAAAATTCCAAGTTCTTAATTCCTAATGATTCTAATATTTTTTTTATAAAATGTAGATAACTGAAATCTAGTTAGTAACCTATTTAATCAAGTACAACAAATTCATAAAAAGAGAGCTAATTTGATTTAGATGTAAGTATTATAGTAAATTTAAAGCTTAACATTAAGGTACATCTGCACAGAAGGCAGATTATTATTATTATTATTGCCATAATGTGCATCTGCACATTAGATATTAGCACCAAAACTGTAACAACTGAATAATAAAAACATAAATTGGATAATTTGTATGATCATAAATCAATTATACTAGTTGATAATCTCGTTGATAAAATATTTATTATGGCATTTTTAATTATTTAATTTTAACTATAAAATTACATTACTAAATAAATATTTTAATTGGAATTTGAATAGTGAATCATAAAATATGGTATAATTTACATGCTATTACCTACATAATATGTTGGTCTACAATAATCTGTTAAAAAACAGAATTAGAAATGTTAAATAGGAAAGTACAACTTCACTTTTATCTTAAAAACAAAAATAACTATTAATATATTATTATTACTTTTATTCATTTATGTCACTACTATGAAAAATTACTTAGATATTAATAATTAATCACAAGTAGGTAAGAATTAAAATGTCTGTAACAATTTTAATTTTATTAAAAAAACTAAAGTTTTGAACCAGAATTGATTTTTGTCAGTTTTGATGTTTGTCTTTGTTTTGGATGTCAGTACTGGTGTTTTACAATATTAGTTTTAAGGGTTTTTATTTTTTTGATTCCAATACCAATATTTACATTTTAGTTTATTACAGGTTTTAGTTAGAATTTATATTTTCTTAAACATTTTTTTTCTCAACACTGATTTGTTTATTTATTTATTTTAGCTGTGAGTTTTTTTTTGATATTCCAAAAATTTGGGTTCTGGTATTTGTTAACAAATCCATATATAAGTACTTTAAACATTTGAATCAGACATTGGAAAGTATGTCTAATTTTCCATTAATCATTAATCAAAAGCGCCATACTATTCTGTACCCCTTCCTTTTAAATAGTTATCAATTATCACACAGTATATTAGTGGAAAAGTCTTACCATTAAGATGGCCATAAAAAAGTAAAATATAATTTTTAAATTTCACAAAATCTAAAACAATTTGGAAAACTGCTTCAACCCTCTTAAAGTATACAACTATGTTTTTCATGAATAGGTGCTGAATAGCATCATAATCTTAAATTATGAGATTTTCATAATATATTACTAAGTAAACCTATTAATCATAAAAGAAGAACATAAATCATAATTATTTAATTAATCACAAAATATTATGATAAATATCATTATATTAAAATTAATAAACATTGATTGTAAAATAAAAATAAAAATAGGATACCCAATTAATAATTGAGCTAGGTAAGCAATCTTATTAAATCTTTAAATTAATTAGGTTGTTTCCATAATTTGCCTAAATGACAATATTTACATTTTTATGTGCTTGGTCGCTAATTGATAAATATAAAACCATCTTGAATCTTGACAGTAAGTTGCTGTTATGAGTACAGTATTATTTTTTTCTATTGTAAGTATAATTGTATACAAACAATATACAATATTATATTAAATCGTTGACACTTTTATTCTTATCAAACAGCGTTATCATATAAAAATGTGAATATTGTTGTTTAGGCATATTATGGCGGCTCCAGACTTAACAACAAACTATAGTCATCTATTTAGTTATTTTTATATTTTTATGGGTACAAATAAAAAATGTAAATAGGTACATACATAAAACAACTAAAATATAACTGTTTCAAAAAATTGCATATACCTAGTACCTTAAGTACAAATTTACATTAAAAAGAAAAAGAAATAAAACCTAGTTTAATTAGAACCATAATTAGATTGGTGGCTTCAATTAATTTTTTTTTTTTTTTAATATGCATGTGCACAAATCCTGTCTAGAATTATCAATACAACAAAAATAAAAAAAACCACATATTTTTCAACACATCTATTAAACCTTGAATAACCACCTAATAGATTTTCATTCACAAATCATCACTATTATAAAGAACTTAATAATCTTGAACAATTTTATGTAATATCCTGATAGTCCTATAGGAAGTCAGATAAATATTTAGCATATCTAAATGATTGCAAATAAAAATATTTAATTTGTATATAAATATTATATATTGTGCTATACTAGTCGAAACACGTAGATAGGTACATTAACTAGGGTAATTTTCTCTTGAAATATCTAGAATACATACATTTAAAAAACCGATTATAAAACCTAATAATAAATTAGGTACCTATATCTACCTACAAAATGTTAATTTTAAATAGTTTCAACTGTTCTAAATGATAATATAAAAATTCAAATGTAGGCAGGGGCACTCGCACTTCATAGTTAGTAATGAACAATAGTGTTTTTAAAGGTTTTGAACTCCTAGGTAGTTAACGAACCTTATAACCTTAATAACTATACATAACTATCCCCAGGCACATTTATTTTATAGGTAAATCAAAATAACACTATACCCACCTACCTAGTTAAGTATAAAAAATGGGTAGGTGGGTATTAAAATAAGTATACCTAAACATTTGTTTAATAGCTGATTAATAATGATTAGTCAAAAGTCATTTAAACAATTGCCAGGAAATGAGACGAACAAAATATGATTTTAAATAATCAAATATTAATTGACTCTCACTTTACAATGAAAATATCCATTAATAGGGACAACAGGGAGTGATAAAACATAATTTACGTAAAATTGTGTTTTCTTATTTTTCAAACTGGGCATATGTTTCTAAACAAAATCTTAAATTTAATAGGTTAGCCATTCTCTTAAAGACAGCCCTGTGCATCACAGCTACCTAGTAGTATTGTACTTACAATAAACTAAATGCAAACGAAAACAAATGGTATGGATATACTTGCACCAACTACTTAAAAAAACATTGTACGGAATAATTGGCCTTGCAAATTCGGAAACAGCGGTTCAATTACGTATGAAAATATAAAAATCTAAAAACATAATTTTTTTTGGCAAACATACTGTTCTATTTGAAGCATAAGTACATAGCTATGTCCATTGTGTACCGTTGATACAGACATAGTCGACTGGTCTGGTACGATTAGCAAATTATAAAAAGAAACACGGCCGATAAAAATTGTATTAGGCGAATGTAAATGTTTGGGGTCAGGCGCGAGGCACTTCACGACACTGTTTTAAACTGAGTAGGTTGAGACATAATTTAACCCTACATCAAATTTAGTATGTATAGCAATACGTTTTTCAATAGGTTTTTCAATAATGGCGAAGGCAATTTTTCAAAACTGGTACTTACGGGTTATATAGGAACAGCTGCTGTGTGTAGAAGCTCTACAGTTCTTCACCAGTCACCTACTTAACGATCGAATGCATAATGAATTATCGGCGGCGGAAGTATTTTTTTTTTTTAATTTATTTTAAATATACAATCGTAATATTTTGATAAGTACGACGACCGGAAAGAAAGAAAGAAAGAAAACGACGACGAGGACGGTGACGAACAAAAAAAAAAAAACAAAACAACGAGTGTCGTACAAAACGGTCGTCTGTCGGAAAAAACGTTATTTATATTATTGCTACGTATGATCGGTTAACAAAATAATTAGAAATAAAATACAGGTACGTATTAGAAGAAAACAATAAGAAGAAAAAAAAAAACATACAAAACGGTAACAACCCTACAGAACGGTTTTTTTTTTTTTTTTACAAGCGCCTCGCAAACGTTTTTTTAAAGGCAATGCCGACGACGACCGTAGATACGAAATTCGATGAATTCATTTTCGAATTGAACGCACGTCCCGGAACCGCGAGTTATTGACTAGAATTTTCGTCCATCGTACCGTATTGATTAAGGCTTAACACAAACGTGATTAGGAACGTAGCGAGCGCGTGGACGAACGGGTAGTGGGAACGGTCCGCGCGGTCGTAGTCACACACTCGCTGGTCACTACGGGCCGCTCCGTGGGAGGCGCGCCTGCGGCGTTCCCAATCACGGAACGGAACGGCGACGGCGGCGCGGTGGGGGATTCGCTGGTGGACTTGAAAATACGTCTGTGGATATAATGATATATATATATCACTACACAATACTTCCACACGAATATGAAATACGTTGTGTAATACCTGTATAGCACGGTCTACTACTTGGTAGTACAGAGTCGCGGGCTTACGGTATTGCGTATAGCGTGCGTAGTGCACCAAGCGCAGTGATAACGAACGAAATCGATAAGTTTGTTAGGTATAATAAACACGACCTTAGATTGTAAACGTACTGATAATAGGTACTTCACCGGCCGCGGTGACGCGGCGACGTAGTATTTGAGCCGTAATGAAATGAAATGCGGGGGAGGGGGGATTTTAATGTAAAATAATGTAAACACACCTATATTGTACCGATTATTTATAATCATAACCTTTATAAAAATATGTACCAATTCAATGTCGATTGTCGGTATAATACAAAGTACAAACTGTCTAGTGAGATTTTTATGAGAACGTTATCCTGATGGCAATTGTTCGGGGTTTTAAACGCAATTTCAGATATCAACTATAGGTCCAATAGTTGCCACGAATTTCTGTGAGATATCGTGATTATTATAATGCCAACTTGTTTTAAACGTTATACTTAATAATTGTTGTTATACGTCTGGCTGTAATTATGATCCCCTCACACACGATTTTTTTATTCTGAAATTATTTATTTTATAAATTACTTAACTATTCGAGCGATTTAAAAATGCACGTAAAGTTTGTTTTTATTAAATGCTACAATTGTTGTTTAAAAATTGTTATTCAAAAAAGAAACTGCACGGATCTTAATTTGTTTTACAATTTTTATATACTCATTCTTATTTTTGGTTTTATTATGTATTTTCTAATCAATTAAAAAGAAAAAGAGCTGATACTAGGGATGGGAGCGGCCACTGTTGTGGGTGAGAAATTTAGAAGATAGGATGCATATGGTTATTTCATTTATCTGTAAGCAACGATAAACATGTTCGGTAATACATAATTTGAAGTGTTGTAATTTCTTTTTGCAATTTTCGTTTCAATTTGATTTCAAAAAGCTTATTAAAAAAAAAAAAGTCGTCCGATGATTTTGAACATTTTACCACGTTTAGGTAAGTCCAAATAAGTATTATTACCAAGTTTCAAGTCTACGTTATATTTATAACCGAATAACACCAGAAAACTCCCAAAAACAAAAATTCCTTATAAGCTCAAAAGTAGTTCAAAATTTTTGGCGATGATACCGTAAGAAAGTAAATCAACAAAAGCAACAAAAAAGGTGTTTTGTGATTTTTCGATTAAATCATTTTTTCTGGTAGAAAACGTTGTTCGTGTTTTTATAAAATAATGAAATTCTACACTTTCCTACGCTTTTTTCCCACTCAAGCGCTTTTATTTAAAAAAATTGCGTCGAAAATCAAAAAGTGAACTGTCTGTAATACCATCTTGAGCTTCCAGAAAAGTTGCTATTCTCAAAAATCGGAGCAAGTTTACTAGGAAAAAACGTGTCCACATAATATAACAAAGAACAAAGAACACGAAGTAAACAGCATTGTAAAACCAGTAGCTCCTTTGCTACGCTCGAAATCTAAAATCCCAAAAAGAAAAAACGGACATGTCTGTTATTATTATTTCTTTATAATTTGTTATTGTTATAGTACAGATTATATTAGGTTAAACAAATAACATAATCTACCAAATCTGGCGACTACCCACCTGTAGGTAATGTCGGTTTTGAAAGATATTTGCTAATAAAAACGAATTAAAATTTAAGATTTTCGAATGAATTGTATTTTGTTGAGCTTGCACATTATTTAGCGGAATACATTTTTGTCTACGCCTGAATACCTTTCTACCTGCAATTTTTTTTCGTTAAATCTATAATGTATGTAGGTATATGAACTAGATGTGACATTATGTTTAATAGCATTTAACTACCTACACGTTCAATAACGTTCACTTCGTGTAGGTACCTATTATGTACTGCGTGAAAATAACTGAGTGTAAAAATAAAAGTTAAAAAAGCTGTCCTAGAATAATAGGGATGGATGCAGCCATTGTTATAGGTGATTTAATGTATAGCTCTAAGCAACAATAAACCATCGCTAACGAAAAAACGATTCTGAGCGAAGTTCAATTGATAGTTGTGCTTTTTCAACAATATAAATACCATATTAAAAAAAATAATTAAATAGGCTTTATATACAATTTTCTTTAATAATATTCGTTTAATGTTGTACCAATTTTCCTGTTTTTCTTACGTTTTCACATGATTTTCCCGGTTTTTCACATTTGTTGAGAAAACTATTAGGAGAATCGAAAAATGACCTCCTTAAAATATCTTCCCCATCGGATTTCCTTTCAGAAAAATGCTATCATTGTAAATCGAAGACGGATCGCTTGTAGAAAAGTTGTTCACAGGAAAAAAGAAGGCTGTAATATTTTTATCCAATACCTGCATTTCGTACATTTTCCCGTGTTTTCTACGTTTTGTTTCTGTTTGTCGCATTTGTTGGGAAAACTCCTCGGAAAACTGACCTCCCTAAAGTATTATCTCCCCTCACCGATTTTTTTTCAGAAAAGGTGCTACACTTAAAAACCGGAATAATATTTCTAGTAAAAAGTTGCGCACAGATGTAAAAAAAAAAAATAAAATAAAATAAAAGAATAAGCATCTTTGTAAAACCATAAGCTTCTTAGCTCCACTCAGAATCTAAAATCGGTAAATAAAATTGCGCCTAGCCGATATCCTCTACTCGACTTAGACCGACGTGCTACATTATTCATCTAAAATATGATAAAAACGATAATTTGATACATGATAAATTTAACTTTAGAATGTTGGCAACGGTGGGTGAACGCAAACTCGTCTCGCTTCCGCGTGACGACTGCTCGCTTCCGTATGACGGACTCGTTGGCTCGTCCGAACGCTACGGCCGTCACGACTGTTGAGGTGCTTTGCACCGCAGGCGAGATTGGTTCGGACGAGAGTCGTTAAAAATAATGCCAATGTCAAAATTATTATTATGATTGTTATTTTGCTGAGAGAGTTTGCGCCGTCGTGTCTTCCAACCTCGCCGAATCCCGTTTTGCCGACAAATAAACCGGTTTCATAAGGTATTAAAAATCTTCCCATTTTGCCGACAGACAAATCGATTACATTACTATTTTTCATTGAAATATTATTGTTACTGGAGGAATTCCAGCGCCGCATCCGCGGCATGAGCGTAAGTAAATATACGAATTTAGTATTATAGAAAACAAAAAAAACGATTGACAATAACAATAGGTTATTAACGATTAGACAGATTTTAAAAAGAATTGTTCTTATTATTTTAATAATTTAAATGAAGTACACTTTTGCAGTTTAGTGTAGTGACAGTTTAAAAAACTAATGAAATCCTTGCAAAAACGAGTCGTTTTAATATGAGCTATAGTGGAATGGAGCCATGAAAAGGTGTACTTCGAACAACGTACATAGGTCGTAGGTAGATAAGTAAAGTAAAGTAAGTAATTAAATGTTGTCGGTAAAATGGGAGTCGGTGACGTTGTAACGCGGTTGAGTTGCGGGTCGCGGCGACGGTTATTGTGGTTAGCGCGGTAACGACCGAGCTATAGGTTCAACGGTTTTAAAACTACATTTCACTAAATTTTATGGCACGGATCCAACATGTTTTGTTTCTTCTTCAGCTACCGTTACGTCATTTATTTATTTTTGGGTAGATAGCACAGGCTCATTCTATGCGACTTATTAAAACGCACGTTATTATAACGTAATCATAGTCGTGCGCAGACCTTGCTGGCAAGGGGGCAGAATATTTATTATATATTATATGTAATATAATGAAATATAATTTGGTTATTATTTATTTGTAGGGTTCGGATTCGAAGGCAATATAATCAATACAAAAAAGCATTTAAAATGTATAAAAAGGCAAAAAAAAAAAGAAAAGAAAAAAAGACGTCCTAGGATAATGGGAACGGGTGCAGCTACTGTTAGATAGATGATTTAATAATGTATACCTTTAAGCGACAATAAACTATGACGAAAAAACGATTTTGAGCGGAGTTCAGTTGATAGTGATGCTTTGTCATCAATATACCATGTATGTAAATATGAAGCCGGAATTTTTTTACAGAAAATAGACGTTTATTGTATGAAATAGATAAAAAATATTTTATTCGAAGTATTGCCCATTGCTAACTATATATTTTCTCCATCTGTTTGGTAATTTGTGAATGCTTCGCCAAAAAAACTGTTGTTGTTTTGAGGTGATTAGAGCATCGAGCGATTTTTGTACATTTTCATAAGAAGTGAAGCAGTGCTCAGCAAGTGTGTGTCCCATCTATGCGAATAAATAATAATCGGACGCAGCCAAGTCTGGTGAATAAGCCGCATGTGAAAGTATTTCCCAACTAAACGCTTCGATCGTTTCTTTGACCAGTTTTGCTTTTGTTTTGTTTTGCCCCATAGGGCATTAGCATGATTCAAAATCACTCGTTTTTCACGCAAAGCTTGATTTAAATCGATAATTTGTTGTTAGTAGCGCTGAGTATTAACAGATTTTCCAGGTTTTAGTAGCTCATAATTAAAGAACAGATTTAAATGATAATGCCATTTTTGTTGCAATAAAGATAAATCAGATATAATTAAATATACAGCCGATATGTACTAAAAATATTCTACCTATTTAATTGTATAATACAATTTTTTGCAATTTTCCCACGTTTTTAAATCATTCGCGTTTATCGTTCGTCTGGAATTTTCTCGAAGCTTGAAGAGTCCAGCGAGCGATAAGCGTCTATATATATTTTTGGCGGTAATTTATTTCAACGTAGTACAGCTATTCGTGTGCGTTTATCTGATGGTACCTTAGTACCTATTTCTTTGATCAGTTTGACCGCCCAGTGAACGTATTCTACGTAATATGTTAAATAAAATAAAATTTTAAAAAGTGAAATTTCCAATTT